GTACCGTCTGCAACGATTGATGTTCTGCAGTTCAAAATGGAATATCTGTCATTAATATTTTGAAACAAAAATGCAATCCGTACTTCTTATTTGTGAACTTCTTGAACACATGGGTGAAAGCAATTTGTCGTTGTATTCCAAATAGATTGACACGCAATTTTCAGAGACAATATGCTGCTGGATCAGTATCTACCATCCGGGGCTGCCAAATATATCACATTCTTCATAAGCCATTAGGAAGGTTATTTAATGCCATTTAATGCAGTTTTTTAATGCTTTTGATATCTTGACAAATAGGCGAGATATTGCCTGTAAACGATAACTTGGGACACCCAGTATTTGAATTATAAAGGCTATTGAAAAAACAACTCAATATTTTTGTAGGAATATTCATTAATTATTCAGGTTATGTTTGTGATTACTTTAGGAGCTCGCAATGGGAAATTATCGATCTTGTTACGTCCAGGATATCCTTGGGTGCTCGCAGAAAGAAATGCCTATTCATTTCCTGTTATAGATAACCTCAAGGATTCGCAATAATGAGGAATATATCAAATCTGAGGCGAGATCTCCGCGATTTCTTTCGGACGACTCCAGAGAGTATTTCCCATGGTGACAGCCTATAGTGATCTTTGATACCTCGCAGAAGGATTTCGTATTTTGATCCTGAAGATAACTACTTAGAGATATCGCGGAGAGTACCGTGTTACCTGGGCGGAAACCATGAATAATTGTTCAGGTATACCTATATTGAAACTGTTACTCTTATGACGTTGCAGTGACGTATCTATGACGTCTTAAAATCACGTCGGTGTGAACGTACCAATTTAGTGAGCTTCGTCATTTAGGAAATTTTTGAATAATTTACTATTTAGAATTTTGTTGGGTGACAAAGAATGCATCAATATATATTATTCAACAAAGTGAAGCCAAATTCGCCAACATCCTTTCCATTGCTATCAAACTATTCTCTGTTTGCTTACATCTCGCCGACACAAACTACATAATTTTTGATACAAATACGAGTAACTGATTGCATCCTGATGGAGATGCGTACTGAAGGATGGCGCTGCTGAATAGGCTATTGAATGCACATGAAACAGGAGGGACACCCACCAAGCAGACTCTACAATGCATAATCAATATTATACATAGTGATGTCATCACACCATGTTGAAGGGATCTTTCTTACGTATCATCGCCAAATTCAATAGTCATTTCGACGTCATTATTATGTCTGTCGGACGTCACAATTTGGTGAGTGAATGACGTCAATACGACGTGAGAAATATGACGTCATTGAGCTGTGACTTATTCACGTGATTATCACGTCAATGCGACGTCAACTACTGACGTCACCTTGGTCATTCAAGTGACGTAAAAAAGACGTCACTGTCACGTCATCTGGTTGCCTGGGCCCAGGCAAACAGATGACGAATGATTACGTCACTGTGACGTCCCTAATTGGTGATTTTTCGTCAGAGACGTCACACACCAATTTATGACGTCATTGTGACGTACTTTCTATGACGTGACAATCACGTCATCGTTTCGACGTCCAGTGAACGTCACTTAGATGAGTAAAAGAAGACGTCAGTTTCATGACGTTGCAGGGACGTCCTGTCGACGTCCATTTTTCCCAGACCTTCTCTAAACCATGGATACTTATATATCATCATATGAAACAGAAGTATAACTCATGAAAGCAAATAAACATGGAAGTTTTATTCTAATCATTAATATACCCGAAAAGTAGTAGAAAAACTTTTTTCTAAAAAACTTTGACAATATGATGTATATCTCGGAAACCAATAACGAGCTAAGTATATATAAAAATGATTGTTTAGGTATACCTATATATTGAAACCGTTACTCTTATGACGTTGCAGTGACGTATCTATGACGTCTAAAAATCACGTCGGTGTGACGTACCAATTTGGTGAGCTTCGTCGTTTAGGAAATTTTTCAATAATTTGCTATCTAGATTTTTGTTGGGTGACAAAGAATGCATGCATCAATATACATTATTCAACGAAGTCGTGAAGCCAAATTCGCCAACACCCTTTCCATTGCTATCAAACTATTTTTTGTTTGCTTACATCTCGCCGACACAAACTACATACTTTTTGATACAAATACGAGTAACTGATTGCATTCTGATGGAGATACGTACTGAAGGATGGCGCTGAATAGGCGATTGGATGAACATATGACACAGGAGGGACACACCAAGCAGACTCAACAATGCATAATCAATATAATATAATGTCATCAGAGGCTAGTGGTGTTTATCACACCATGTTAAAGGGATCTTTTTTACGTATCATCGCCAAATTTAATCGTCATTTTGACGTCAATACGACGTGAGTAATATAACGTCATTGGGCTGTGATTATTCACGTCATTATCACGTCAATGCGACGTCAACTACTGACGTCACCTTGGTCATTCAAGTGACGTAAAAAAGACGTCACTGGAACGTCATCTGGTTGCCTGATGGGGTGCAACGAGGGTTGATCGAGGCCCACCTATAGTTCACTCCGGATTCTCCCCACCTCTAGGGCTGAAGACGCGTAGTTAAAAAAAAGAACTTGAGCTAGAATGTAGTGCTCGTTGAAGCACTCAGTGCACTATTGTGCTCGAAAAGCACCAGTGCTTATAGTGCATCGAGCTTTTAACGAAAAGGTTTATAATGCTTGAGAATCTTGAAAAGTGCGTCCCGTGCCCTGAGCACTATATAAGCACTGAGCCCCTTCATAATGGCCTGAAATTTTAGTTACAGAGAGTCAGCAGTATGTCAAACAAGTTTTTGTCGTTTTCCGTTTTTATACTTTGTTGAATTGTGTTCAGAATTATACAGGGTGATTAATGAGGGTTATCATATAGCCAAATGAGGGATAAAGAAAATGAAGGCGAATTGATGATGCATGTATGTGCAGTGTGTGCGATTTCAACCCGCAACACCCCTCCTAATTTGGAACACGTCGACCGATTTTCAAAAACAAAAATGCTGATATAGTAGTCAACGAAAATGTGACTGGAATACCCATAAACAAATTTGAAGACAAGGCAATATCTGATATAGGGTTAGATATTTGATGGCAAGTTTTGATATTTTCTATTTTTGAATTCTATACGTATATGGTGAAGCGGTCATTCAATATGGAGAAATACGGAGCAGGATACGATGAAGAATTATCATTGTAACTCCTAAAGGAAGATCTCTCTCTAGGTCAACCAAAAATTAATGAAATTGATGTTGAAAATATTTTTATGATCCAAATCTTTTTTTTCTGAAGATATCAATGATAGTAACAAATACGAGTAAATATTCTCTATAGATAAAAATATTCATTGTCATTCCATGTCGCCAAAATCATTATATGATCACATTATTAATAATCAGTATATCTCCTTGCAGTCTTTGTTTGTCTCTCATTCCATTTATGTCATATTCGACAGCTCTTTATCAATCGAGACAGTTTTCAAAGTTAGGTACTGTGTGTCGTGAAGTGTGTATGAAAAACGGTTTACTTGAATTTTCAAAATTTTAACCTCAACTTTAGTTTCATGGAATTTTCTCTTAAAAAAGTATAGTGTACAACTCGCAAGGAATGCTAATTTCCCACTTGTATCATTGCAGCATCTCGTGGGAAATGACCATCAGCTCGTTAAACAATATACTATTTGAATTTCTATAACGATATAAAGATATAGTATTATGTGACATGGCCATATAACTTTGATGACCGACATTTCAAAAATGATTCATCGTGATTTGCTGAAATTTGGCAGCAACGTTGTTCTATCGAAACTATTCAAGATGGCATATGAAAAATAAAAACTAGAAATGGATTTGAAAAAAATTCATGTTTTATTCTTATATCGAAAAAGTTCACTTTGTGATCACTTTTCTCGAACAAATAATTTCATGAGATTCAGAAATATCAGACTATGTGCCGAAAGACCTGCTCTTCAATCTGCACGGCACACTTTGACCGATTCAATGAGAAGATATGAAACAAAAATGTTAATTTTGAAGTGGAGTAGCAATAAGTGATGCGAGTCGTATTCATTCCATTACCACCACACGATGCATTGAATTCAACATAATATGCACTGTGTTGCTAAATTCACCATACACGTGATCTTGATGGAAATTCTTGTTGAATTTATAGCAACACACGGTGATGCTGTTCCGTTTATGTTTTGGATTTGACGTGATTAATCTACATAAAATACAGAAACCATGTTGAAATTGTAAATTATGTAACAAGTGTTATCAACGTCTTTTTAGGAACGAGTTAATTTTAAGCACGAGCGTAGCAGAGCGGAGCGAGCGTTTAATAAAAGAGTTTTTCAACGAACTCATAATTCCTCTCTTCGACACTTCACACGCGGGACGAAATCGATACCTTTACTCCCTTGATATATAAATAGCTATCACGTTCAGTTGGTCATGTTGTAATCTTATACACGAATCCATTAACTGAATACCTATACTCATTAGTTTCAATACATATAATAATAATAAAATATTATCGGAGACTCGAAGACTTACATAATTCGCAAAATCCACAGTTTTTAGGTGCTTGCTGATTTTCATCTTTCACTATTTTTCTTTTCATGTTTTCACTCTACAGTTTTCACATGTTTTTCAATGTCACAGATAGATATATATGTCAATTCTGGGTAAGTCAGATAAGTATCCACAAAATGACAGTTATCAATGACAAACACGACTTCATTTCTTCATCCTCATATTAGCTAATACAGAAATTACATTTTTTTACATTTATTTGAGAATTTAATTCGTTTTCATTATATCTCGCGTCTTTCACTCTCTCTTGATTTTTTTCGAATTGAAAAATAATTACCCTGTATATGGTATATTCACATGCTGCGAACTGATTTCGTTGTTAATAAATGCATACGTAGTCCCATAGATTATTTTATTGATGTAAAGAATATTTTTCATTCTGACATTTTTTGACGTTCATTATCGATGCGTACATGTATTGACCCATTTTGTTGTTGGTTGAACTCGATGTGGTTCTGTGATATTTAAAATAGGGAGAATTCATTAGGAAATAGGAATAATTGTCAAGCAATATTGAATTTTTTGTTTTATTCAGTTGTTCTGGGGCAATCGTTTAGGTTAGTTTGGGGTATCAATAATAGTGTAACCAAGTAAGTATTTTTTCAATCACCCCCTGAAGTGATCACATATACATATACATACAGTGAAAAAGAACACCAAATTCTTCATTTCCAATAATTGCGGATTCTAGTAAAGAATAGGTGATTTTATTGAAACACTAGGTACCATTCACCAGTCTGCATGGTATTGGTGATAATATATACAGACTAGTTGACCGCAGCTATTATAACTATATCTGATCTTGAAAAACAAAAAAGCAAATGAAATGTCCCATCACATACAATGAGTAGGCTCTTGTCATTATTTTTCCAAATTTCAGCTGTGACATCAGCGATGGTCAACTTTTCTTCAAATGGCACTATATTATGTTTTTCATTTTGTTCTGTTCGAAATTTATAATTCCAATAAAATGATGTATAACGAGTTGACTTCTGGAGAAAGTTAGTTGAAGAATAAATGTTCAGTTGACAGGAAATAGATATTTTCCTGGAATATTGCTGGGATCTTTCATTGAATGTCGCAATAAATGTCACCGAAATGAACAACAATGTTTTATTTGTCAGATATTTCCACAACGCATGTGATTTTGCTGTGAAAAAATTTGAATTGTTCGAAATGGTCATTGATGAATAATTGAACCCACAATTCACACCTACTGATTGCTCTATGACATCAATTCAAGATGAAATTCATAGTTCGCTTTATTTGTAAGGAAATATCATGCAATCAGTACCTGCAATGTGTTAATAATAGTGTGTTCAACATAATGATGGCCAGTTTGAATATTTTAATTTTTTTCACAGCACACTCTGAATTATTTGTATCTGCTATTTCATTGACATCCACTGTCAAATTTGTCAACTGTGCATTTATTTTTTGTTTCATTTAATTTCGTTCAGAAGTCAACTTATACAAAAAAAGGAGACAATCGCGGACGTCACAGTTAGAATTTGAAAAAATCATTATCAAAGCCTACTTATAATATCTGATGATGAATCATTTCACTTGCTCTTTCGGATAATAAATAGCTATGCTATAGCTTGAGGCATTTTTTGTCAGTCAGTCTGTATATTTTGAATTTACTAGTACATTTTGATGTCAATGATGTCATAAATGCAAATATCATATATGCAAATATATGTATTTCGACATTCCTCAACCATAATTATCACGATCTCATTTTCAATCCATAAATTGCTGATGGTATTCAGTTTTGGCTAATTTGATTATTATATTATTATATATATTACATTTCTATTGATACCTATATATACAAGGTGTTACGAAATTTGATTAACAACGAAAAACAGGCGATAGCCGCCCTCATGATTTGATACAGAAATATAGATGTTCAAGTCAAGAACCTACCTAATATATATAGGTAGGTACCTATTATTGTTTTTACGCGATAACTTGAGAACGATTGAGTTCATTGCATTTGAATTATGAGAATCAAAATTTTGAAATTCCTATTAAAAAAAACAATTTATTGACCATAAATTATTATTTCATTGTGTGCGACCTATCGCATAGTTTGGCAGGTCAAGATTGACTTATTTGGTACATGATGGGTTTTATCATCAAATATACGTTAGTTTTTGTCAAGAAAGTCATCTCGGAATTTTTTTCGATCCATTCCCTCCAATTTTCCTACGCTAGTGATGAAATCGTGATTGATTCTAGGCTAACAGATTAGTTGAGAAAATATGTGCCTCCAACCATGCTTCAAACGAAAGTAATCGAAATATTTGACGTTTAACAAAATCTTGCATATTGGATATAGGCATTTTTCTACAAGGTTATTACAACAATATTTGCCACAAGATGGCTACAACATGACTACAACTTCATGTTATACCCTGCGAATATTTTCCTGGTTGGTTAATTCATCAGGTACTCCTTAGATTCCATTTAGGAGTCTATAGCAGCATTAAATACAAACGAACATTCTTGTAATTTTCAATATATAATGAAAATTGCAGATGTGCGAGCTATATTTTGGGTATAGTATCGGAAATATTATTTTAGCCCAGTTGAAACAGGAAATCGTATCTTACCTGAATCAGTTGATAAAAATTCTACCGTATAGTTATTTTCAAAAATCGATTTCAATTCTTCAACATCAACACCCAGTATCTGAAACCTGAAACTATAAGTACTTGACCTTATGATTTCTATCCAATCCTTCATCAAATCACGAAAGCTATTACTTGTGAATCGTTGTCGGTCGAAAATATTTCACGGAAGAAAGAAGTTTATCTTGAAATTCATACAGATGGATGTCAAAGGTATGTAAAAATCGATTCTAATTTTTTTGTCTGTTTGTGATGATAACTAATGTTTTTCCTAGTTCTGAATATTTCGAACAGCAAAAAGATTATCCATTTTCGTTAGCTTGCTAGAGAAGCAAGTATAAGTAGGCATGCACATTGCACAGTCTCCAGAATGGAATTTGTTGATTGCAAATGGTGATGAAATCTGTATAAAGATAGATATTTTGTTAGTTGTGGTTCAAATTTATTGTTTGCTTTCTATAGTGGAACTAGTAAATGTCAAAAAATTATTAGTAATTTCGAATGAGGCTGGCTCATTGTTCCTTCGCAAATTTGGCGATTCTGATGACATAATGAATGACTACTAGAGTCCGACCACGTTAACTTTGGGACAGCAAGTGGTCACGAATGCATTAAATATGCATAAGAGTTGCGTCACGTGGTGTCCCAAAGTTAACGTGGTCGGACTCTAATGCAGTTTGGACTGATCTTTGCATTTTGTTTATTGCTTCTATTGTATCGTGAATATTTCAATCTCAAAGTGGACTTCACCGTACCTTTCGCTTTACGAAAAAAAGGGAAATTGATTCGTTATTTTAACTATAAGTATCACCAATGAAAATTTATGATAGATATAAATATTTTATGAGGTCTCCTGAACTTATTGTTAATGTCTCGCATGCATTCCCATTGTATGTTAATCGCTATTGAAACTATATATTTCGAGTAGTCAAATATTATGTTTGTAATTTAGTTTCATTGACGTGAATTTTCATTAAATATTAAACATTCTGAAATCGAAATAATATTCTGCCACTAGGTATACAGTTGCAGAATAGAGGTGAGTAGTTTGATGACTTCAATGAATACCTACTGTCGAATTATTTATATAAGTACCCATAAGTTGACCCGTGATCAAAAATCTGTTGAATTATTAACGGACAACAATTTTTTCATGGGAAAACCCTATAATTAACACATATATCTGAAATTCCGAGATATAAACGTTGGTGCTTTGCGCCTCCAATGGCCAGCTTACTTCCAAATAAACTGCAAGTCGCAAATTTTTGCTTCAATTTGTGATTCCAAAATCTTGAAATGAATTCAAGATAATATGCTCAATGTATTACACATCAGTACTTTATATTCTTTTCACAAATACAACTCTTTGAGCTCTTGACATGGTTAAAAAACTCTCTTTATTCATTTCAATCAAAGAAATATCTCGCAGTGAGAAGAAATAATGCCTTCTTAGCAAATAACTTAGCCACAGTTACACTTAACTCCAAGATGTTTCAGTAAAAGAATATATTTCAATCAATCCATATACAATATTTTCCTTCTATTCCGTTATACAGAGTGTTTCGTCATATATGGGCGACGCACTCCTAGGAGTGATATAGCAGGGCCTACTCTATCTCACCGAAAAAAAGGATAAATCTAATGTTCCTATAAACATATATATGTCCAAAACTCTTTTGTGTTGAAATTTCAAGATTTTTTTAGTTATTTCCCCATAGCTCTTGCAGTTTTCAAGATATCCAGCTCAAATGCGGAATACGGGTAGGGCTCACATCAGTGGGCATGCCAAATGGTTTTGATAATATACAGAAAAATATGTTTTCATGGGTCGCAAACCCTGATCATTTTTATTGTGGTGCGCCACTAGTGGATTCAATAAAATCTATTGTTCGTTCCGAATCTTTTTGTTCTCCTGTGGCTTTTCCTATCTGCGACCGTTATTTAAAGGAAAGAAATATTGAAAATTTTCTGTAATTCGTGTTTTCAAGTTTTAGCTATGCACGGAAAAAAACAATGAATCTATTTCCAAATAAAATTGGTTTCGAGTTATGGGATGTTGCAAATACCTATCGAAACAATAACCATATCCTCCGACTACCTATACAATTTTCGTTTTTTTATCTTGTAATCAATGTAAACTATAATGAATGAATAACGGAATAACTGAGAATATCTTGAACTCGTAAACTACTGAATTTCGGTAGGAATTTTTATCATTCTTTCGAGTCGCTCTATGACCCCTATAGGAGTGTGTTCCACATAAATATACAGGGTCCTCCTTATTTCATAGGGACAGTATTGTGTTATTTCCCAAACCTTGAGTGATAGAATATTGATCAAATTAGACAGAAGGTGCGTGATTTGAACTTCTTCAATATGATGCTTTACAATTTGAAACAACCTCAGCGTTCCTGAAATAGATATTTCGAAAAAACTTAAACTTATTGATTTCGTATATATTCATTTTCTTGGGTAATATTCGAGGAAAAATTTTTTCGTGAAGAAGTCTACTGTTTTTGGGCACTGTTCCATGTGATAATGTTGATATATGTTGAACATGGATGGAAAGCCTATTTTTAGCCCTACTCAATGGCATAAAAACATATATGGCACCCATAAGAAAAACAAAAGAGATAGAAAATTTCTGACAATCCAAACTTTCTTGATATTGTCGCAACTCAGATGGTTTTGGTAGATTATTTGGCAAACGGCGTGTCCACCACATGTCTCAACTCAGATGTTGCCCTCCTATGATTCGTAACTTGGCTACTCACTTGGCTTGATGAGAGGATTTTGATCATTTCACCACCCAACCATATTCATCCCCAAATGAAGAGTCAAGATAGTTTTCGTATAAAATTAACATTTATTGATTAAATGGGAAAGTCGTAAATTACCAAACGGAACACAACACGAGACAACCATTCAGATAGAACATGGAAAAACAGTACTTACAATATGACGTGTAACATGATGGGGTTGACCAGCAGGATCAAAGTCGGGAAGACGGTACACATTTTGGCAGCAACTCGTGAATTAGTAACTCAATTACGGAGTAGAGTAAAGTGTTATCGAAATGCATTATAATTCGATATAATAATCAAATAGTAATGAATCAGTTATCAGTAACCAGTATTGAGTAAATCAATAATAATGAATAATCAGTAATCAGAAATGTGTGATCAATAATAATAAAAAATCAGTAATGAATGGCTTATCGATTCCGAATCTATTTATATTTGTAATCGATGCTAACATTGCAATTTTCCGCAATGGCAATGCTCGATACCGGGCGTATAGATTAAATAAAGATCTGGAAATGAACGAAAGTTATTTCTTAGACATTTGTACTTCTTGACAATATGATCAATTACAAATTCACGCAAAATTTCGAGATTTTCCCCTAAAATCAACCAGGAAAATAGCTAACAAAAAAATAAATGGTTTCCAGTTTCTTCAAAATATTTCTGGAACGACTGATATTTCTTCAAATTGTAAAACATATCGAAAAGGTTAAAATTACGCAACTTTTGTCTGAATTTATCAACTTTCAATCTCTGACAGTTCAGGAAATAGCAATACTGCCTCTTATGAAATCGGCTGGATCCTGAATATATGGAGTGTCTCTTAAAGAACAAAAACCGATATGAAAAAACATGCGAAAATGTCCAAAAATATGATTTCTCAAATGAATCAAGTGCATTTGGTATTCAAATTCAATTAACTAATAACCCAACAGCTGCTGGGTCACCCGAAGGTACAGTTCATCCAAAAACAATTGCAAAGTCTCGTGCCGCACCTGCACTCACTTCAAAGAAAACTTTAAACTCGCCCACGCCGCACGCTGCGGATAATCTGTAATTGATTTTGGATACCTACCTATACTTTATAATGAGTTTCAAAATGCAATGCCAAGGAAGCGGCGCTGGAAACCTTAAACTTCGCTTTAATTGAATAATATCAAAGGCAATTCTACGCACTTGCCTAATATTATGACTCATGAAGTGATATTGAGGTTGAAATTTTCTTCATGGAAAGCCTTTACGCTACAGTACTTGAAATCCACCATTCCACCTATATAAAAAGTATAGTATCGCCTCAACTCTATCAAGTTCATCGAGAGCATCTGAGGGGTGTTTCGACAGCCAAGAAGTGGCATTATCTTATCGACACTAGTAATCAAATGACTTCAACTCTCAAAATATTAATGAAATATGGCCAAACACGTTCCGATTATGATACATATCTATACCTGTCTAAGGAAGATATGTACTATGTACAACAAGAAGGCTAAAAATGTCAAATGTGGAAAGTATGGTGTTGATAATTATGAAGTATATACAATCTGAAGATACCTACCATACATGGTATTTTCGAAATTGTAGATATTATAGGAATTTGCGCTTCGAGAGATAAAAAAAGTAGGTGGAGACAAAATATAAATAATGGAATTTGAATTAGTTCATGAAGAACACAGTTATCTTACGAGATATTGATTTTTGAAGATTATCTAGAAACCGAGCAAAGACAAACGCACTAGAATTTTCAATTACTTTGGCAATGTTTTCGGACGTTTCAAGAATTGGTACCTATTATAGGTAGAGCGTTCACATTTTGAATAGAATATCTGATATTTTTTCTTGCGATTCATTGTGTCATTATATCTCACACAACTCACTCAGTATAATGAAGAGCATCGTTTTTCATTTTCAAGGCATCATGGATATCAATATTGTCCCAGAAGACGTCGTCATCTCAGGTATCGGAGGATATTTTCCAAAAGCAAAAAATATCGAGGAATTCAGGAAAGCTGTTTTCGAGAATACTCCATTGGTGGAACCAAAGTGGCCTGAAGGTGGGTAGTTATATAACTATTATACTTCAGTCATTTCAGGATTGAAAGGTCAACCTCGGAATGAGAGTTAATGAGCTGGAAACTCGTATAAACCTTCATTTTTATGTTCTAGAAGTTGTCTCAGAAGTCTCATTAAATCTCGTGCCTGCGTCGTAAGTTATTGAAGGTCATATGTCACAAAATTCTATTATCTAGGTTTCAATAGCTCCAATGATGTTAACACCTATTATGAGAGTTGTCGACCTTGAACTTTTCGACCATGAATTTTTCCATTCGCTCAACAGTTTTCCGAGATGGAGGGCCGAGAAAGTGTAGCGCAGCGCTCAGCTATGTACATACTGTAATGCTAGTTCATCTGTGAATCTCGGTAAATAATACCCTGTATACAGTTGTCATTTATCAAAACATCGAAATATTATAAAAAATGGATAATTTGTATTATTCATCAATGAATGTAGGTACTGAATTCAATAACATAACACATATATCTAAGCAATGCATTTTTGGTTGTGCGAAGTCTGCTTAGTCCAAAAGCACAATAAGTTTATTTTCAAATATCCTTCATTCTGTTTCTCAAATTCAGCTTGAAAACTCATGCTCCTAATCACAGAAGGCATAAAACAATACTTTTTTAGTTGTTCAAAGTGTTTCCGAATCAAAACACTGAAAGAAAAGAATATTCGATATAGTCAGTGACACCCGATATATGGAAAATATTTGAAGAAAAAGGATGGCGAAATATTGAAATGATATAAATTTCCACTCATCTTTGGAAGTCCAGGAAAAGAATCTGTTCCCGTTCTCAACATAGAAATGGAAAATAACTCTTGATGGATCTGTTCGCTTTTGTCTCTTGATACTTCTCAATAATGACAAAATTTGTCAGTAGAATGTGTGAGTTGAGGCGCGTTTACACCAAAGTCTTTCACTCAGTTTTCCACAAGTTGCGGCAGTTTGTTGCTTTTTTTTCACAAAATACGGCATCCTTTTTCTGTCTTCCACTTGTGGAGACACAATCTCTTCCACTGAATTTTGGTTGAAAGTTGACAACTAAAAGTGAAAGATTTGTTGCTGCGTTTTGCACAAGCAACTTGTAGGAAACTAGTGGAGGAATGATTCCTCTTTTCGCTAATTCTCTGGCAACAAGTTTTCCACTTGTTACCCTAAATTTGAGAAGAACAACTTTTAGGTTTCTACAAAACATCTTCCATTTCTTGCTCTATTTTGAGAAGAACAACTTTCAGTTTTTCACAAAACATATCTTCCATTTGTTACTCTAATTCTAGAAGAGCACTTTTAGTTGAAAACTTTTTGTTTTCTTCAAACAATCTGTTGACAACTTTTAGTTGTTAACTTTGATGTAAACGCGCCTTATATTTCTGATTGATCATGAATTCATGAAATCAGAAGTGAATATCAAAGTTATTCCTATATCAAATGTGCATTAAACAATGTTATCCATTATTCATGATATTTTTAGGAATCAATCAATAAGTCAATACACGGTATTATTCACTGAGATCCACAGTTGACCCTGTATATGGTTGAGCACTTCGCACTCTCCGCCCTCTCTCTCAAAAACGATTGAGCGCATGAAAAAATGAATAGAACAAACTTTGTCGGAAATTTCGTCTAAAATTTTTGTGGATGGTGTCAATATCATTGAAGCTATGGAAACTTATTATCTCTCATTCCGAGATGTAACCCTTATTTAACTGGAGTATTCGGAAATATATGATATCAGGAATAAAATGAGTAATGCAAGAAACTATATGTTTGTAGGAGAAAGAAATTGCTGCAACCTCATTGGTTGCATCGATTCAGATCACTTTGATAATTCCTATTTTGGAATCCATAGGCAACAATGCCTCTATATGGACCCGATGCATCGCCTTGCTTTAGAAAGGACATTTGAAGCTCTTGTCGATGCTGGTAAGTCAATAACAATCCAATGCAAAATATAGGTAGATACTCATCTAATGAGATTTTTCAACTCACATCTTCGGAATATCAATATGTTTATTTAGTTAGAAAATAAACAATTAATGTTCACTGACAGAAGAATTAACCCTATATAGAAAGTAGTCATTTAAATAATTATATGAGATGATCTCTTCATACAGGGTTATTCAAATTCGGTACATACGTCAAATATCGCATTCTGCAGATGCCAAATTGTTTTTCTGTAACTACTGGTACATATACGAGAATCACTTTTCGATTCACTCAATAATTACTAATTTAGTCCTGCTTGTATCACTACTGGATATATAGAATAATTCATTTTATCAAAATATGAAAAGAGTTTCTACGAATATTTGGTATGTCTCATATTATTTTGTTCCATATGTTCCATCAAAACTGAGGTAATCTATTCGTTATTTGCAGGTTTGAATCCTCACGAAATAAAAGGAAAAAGGATAGGCGTTTTCATGGGTTCCACCATTGGTGAAAACGACAATTTGTTCATGGAATCAGTCGTTAGTGGTTTCGGTGTAACTGGTCATTCCCGAGCAATGATGCCTAACAGAATATCTTATTGGTTGAATTTGAAAGGTTCGTGTTGTTACATCACTAGGTGACCCACTTCAATCAATCCCTCCTTCGAGTAAAGTACAGGCTGCAGGAATGAAAATTCTCATGAATACGAAATCATGTTTCATTGATACAGTTGCTTCCTCAATCTCTAAGGGAAATACTAATGTAAATATAATAATTAATGATCGTACGAGTATTCCACCTGAAGATTGAAGAAGCTGGAGGTACTCTATATGTCTATTTCCACTGAAAAATTGAAAAAGCTTCAAGGTCAACCAACCAAATAAGTCCTCAAAGGAGAGCGTAACATTGAATCACAGATGTTTTTGCATAGATTAAGAAGTGGAAGCGATTCGGCTCTACAGATGACGTCTGATATATTCAGTGATTAACGACATGACTGAGTGCACTTTCAACTGACATCATGATTTTGCAAAGTATAATTGACCGCACTGATTTTGTGGTTTTGACTCACATCCTTTCATGAAGACATCTTCTGTGAGCCAAACTATTCCGTGTTAGCGAAGCATGGATTTCAAGGATTCTTCGAATATTTTGTGGAATTTTACTTAATTGGATAAATCAATCAGTCAGATGTGCCATATGATACAAGGTGCAGCAAAACGAGTGGATGTTTTTCTAATTACCATAACTCCGACAATTTACACTTAAGAAATGAATTATCGACTCATGATCTGTCGATGCCTTCCTTCATTTGTACTTCTATGCGACAAGTACAGTTTTAGAAGAATGATGCGATACCCTACAGAGACAGTGTCTCGATGATAGTTATGTTTTTTCTGGTCGTTCCATTCATGAATTTGGTGACGTTTATTTTGATTTACCTACACGTTACTAAAGATTTGCAACCTCTCTTTATATAGATAACCTGGAGTCCCCGATTATTGAAATGATTGAAGTGAGCTAAAGAAAGAAGACATGACTGTTCAAAACTTTTTTAAATGTCGTTTACAGTATCTCATTACGTGAAACGGCCACCATATGGCCAATGTTGTTTTTCAAACTTGATGAACTCAAACTGCATAACATCACGAAATAGAATCTATTGATGATATTTTCCTAAACTGAAAATCCACGAAGAAATATGACCAATCGAAACATCCGTCGTTTCTGTCGGACTCTGTTAGCAGATAAGCAGATCTGAATAACCATTCATCTATTTTATTAGGACCTAGTGTGGCATATGATTGTAACTGGGTGTCTGGCACTGAAGTACTGCGAATGGCCTATGTAGCAATAAAAACTGGCCAGTGCGATTCTGTAATTGTCGGTACTGCCAATATCACGACGCATTCGGAATTCCAATGGCTTTATACCGACATGGGGTTGTTATCATCAGATGGTAGTACTAGAGCTTTCGATGCAAACGGTAAGTTCAATAGATAAACCTAATACCGACATAACCTATATATCATATCCCAAAAACCCGAATATCTCATTCATATTGCTGGCCTGGAGAGGATCCACTGTTACCAAACTGTCACTCGAGTCATATAGAATCAAAAGTCTGTATATATCAAAATAAAAAAAAATTGTTCAGCTGCAAACTCTAAATAGAGAAAGTTAGTTGGAAACAAAACTGTGTATACATCTGGGAATCAAAACTCTGAATTTTCTCTTCAACCAATGACAGTGTACCTGAATCATCACGTAAACAGTCATGTGTTAATTTTGAAAGAGAAATGAAAGAATGTGTTAGAGAAAATAGAAAGATATGATTGACGTTTCATATTCTACATTCCATCAATACTTGTTGTTCCATTTTATTTCCTAATAATCGGAGACCTCATCAATAGTAAAATGAAATTCGAACAATATTCTCAATGATAAAATATCATCTTTAAAACTCACTTATATTCAGCAGATCTTTTCCTGGATAATAAGTTGAAGTATCTTTATCAACTGTTTCTTTATATACTTCCAAACACAAATCAAAAGAACTGCATCTCTTTCTGACATTCATTTATTCATCAGAAAAATATATACTTTTGCAAGAATTATTTGATGGAAAAAATGCACGAATTTCATAGAAAATATACTCAACCACAGAGAAAGTGAGACAAGATATTTTCATCCTTAAGTATTGTGAGATGAGTTCACCAAAGTGGTCCAAAACAAATCTTCATGAAATATCAATTCATCACCTACTTTGTTCCTAAATGTGGAGGGAATGACAATTCAGATTGTAATAAGTTTGTTAAAATGTGTTTCCTGGGTATAACCAATTGTGTATTCATTTCAACTCATTTCTTTATTGTTCAAAGTTCAACTGCAATGTTCTTATAGTTAAAATAATTTCTGTAACGATTCTGTCTCTATTGCACTCGTTATCATCATAAACTCTGCAATTTCATGCATCAGTTCCAATACTCTGTATTTCCGCAAGTTTCAGTCTCAAAACTCTCTATTTTCGAATGTGCAACTTACACAAAGATAATAGAAAATAGAATTTCGGTAATATTCCATCTGAACGACTGTCCATGACTTGAAAACCTCGCGCTCCTGTTTTATATTATGTACGGTTAGGATTTCAGTGAGAGAATGTAACTGATAATTCAGATATACGTTTCGGTCGCCATTCCAGCTCTATCACAGTAATACTGTTGAATTGATAAACTCAATAATTGGATTGAGAACCTCAGGAACAGATTGTTTGAAGGATCTAAATGGTATAATCAGCATTCATATTTATCAGTATAATTGTCGGCGGAGAGAATGAATGGCCTCATTTCCCGAGATATCGGTAATAAGGGGAATTATTCTCAACAGAAGATCTTATGACAGTTCTAGTCATTCCAAACATCCAAACATTCATATATCAAAAAGTACCCACTCCTGTTTTCCAAAGAATATATACAACTGATAGGCGAACACAAAATGAGTGCTTCCACCAAAATTTGAAATTCGCATTCTTGGCGGAGTTCAATTCATTCATCATCAGTTTCGTTAATATATTACTATCTTGGTTACTTTTATCAAATCATTCACCTACTATCTAGAAAATAGAAATTGTTGTAACTTGAAATCTTAACATCCATTTCAGAGGATTAGAGCTACTTACCCTTTCCTGGAAGATAAACAAACAGAAGAAGAGGCAGACATAAAATTATTTCTGATAGGCAGGTCATTTTGATACCTATATCAAGATACTTGATTACTTCGAAATAATATTTAGGCCTCAGGGATGATGATGAATAAAAATTCAACAACTGTCCTATTGTAAGAAACGAGTTCAACGGTTATCAGTAATAGGATCCTGATTTTACACTTTTGATTGTTTACATGTGGATTATCCACCAATTAATCGACAGTATCTATCCAACAGAGTTCTTTTTCTGGCATACTGCTCACTCGACAAATGCTGCCAGCATATATGTACATAAACAATTAGGGAATCGTTTTATTCATTACCCTTTCAGATTATATCGTCACAGCATAATATAACTCCTCCTGAATAATATCACTGTTGGAAATGAGTTGTCACTTTCAACAACTTCCTTCCTTTATGGTTGAAAAGATTTCGATGAATCCATCAAAATTTACATGACTCATACTACTATAACTTCCGATCATTATAAATTCACTGAGATGTAGTACGAACAATAATAAGGTATTGTATTGATAGTTATTATAACTTGTGAGTCTATCAACAGAATATAACTGAGAATACAGTAAGTTGATGTAGAATCAACAAGATATAGTAGCTAATACATCATACAGATAATGCCTAACGACGCTAAGCTATTTGATGATATGGTGATATCAGCTATCAAAAAATCTATCAAGAGAATGTTGTTGCGAACACAATAGGGTATGATGGAGATATCAATCCATTATTGATCATATTAATAATATCAATGATGATTTAGTTGACCACAAATGGATTTGAAAACTCAACTGAGATATTATTGTAGACCTTCTGGTACAACACATTCTTGTTGAATCATCAACTAATTTCAAACTGTGTGTGACCGACCCTGCATCGAATATCAGGGATTCGATAAAATTCCAGAAAAGCTTGCTGGAATTCATAGTGCTCAAACTCATTGCTTCCAGAGCAGCCTTCGGCCATCTGATAACAATCCGATGAAAACTTCACCGATATGTCTATCTAATAATGGCTCTTGGTTTATGTATACAACGAAAACTTCACACTCCGATTTTAGCGCTTTGAAATGGAAATTCGGATAAATGCTCGAACCCGTTGATTTCTGATTCGAGGAATAACGATTTTCCTGCTTTCTTCATCCTCGTTACTTCAACCCCTTTCCAGAAGAAGCATAACGTACTATTCGACCATCTAATTTCGCGTAAAAATCAAGATAGTGGTGGAAGAGGCAATGTCGAATTTACCTCAAAAGTATTAATATTCTTGGAGGAGGATTCGGAAAGTATTCATTTATTCGTCGTTTTTTCGTCACAAAAAAGTTTATGAACGCACTATATGTTCGATTCACCTCAGTTCATCCTGAATATTCAACAAAATGTCAACCGTCTCGAATCGATTGTTGGATATTCAAGATGAATCGAGGTAAATCGAACAGATTTTGCGTCCACATACTTTTCAAATGTATACTTTCCGAATCCTAATCCATAAGAATAATGATCTCGAAGTAAATCCGACATTGGCTCTTCCATTTCCTCATCTTTAATTTCATTATCAATGAAAATTTTGACGGGAAAGTGAAGGGTCAGATAGTACTCGATGAAACTTCAAGATGAGACATCGCAACACCTCCCTTCCCTATTTGGAATCGGGTGGTTGTGCTTGCCTCTGGTAGGGAGTTGGAGTTACGGGGATATAGAAAGAAGACAAGTTGTTTCACATCGAATCAGAAATCGACGGTTCTGGGTGTTTTACCGAATTTTCATTTTCAAGCTCTTGAATCGAGGTGTAAAGTTTTTGTTGTACCACCCTGTATAATGGGTATGCATCCAAAATTCAGCTTCAGTACTCCTTCTAATCCATACGTCCAGTACCGCATTTCCATATCTATACAAAATACTTATTTTGATTCAATCATTGATAATGCATATTTTCAGCAACGGGGTATGCAAGAAGTGAAGGGGTAGTAGTTCTTTACATACAAAGGGCTTCCGAAGCGAGAAGGCACTACGCTAGTATCATCCACATCGCCACAAGGTTCGATGGTAACCGGGAAGGAGATTTACTGACAGTAGATTCTGGAAATATGGTAGAGTTCTTAGAAGAATTTTACGAAAAATCTCCAGTAAAACCTGAGCAAATTGAGTTTGTTGAAACTTATGGTTGTGCTTTGAAGGTAGGAGTACAGAAATAAAAATGTCCTCATATAAGATGAAAGTAAGGAATGTCTCGTAGCAGTAGTTCATGCATTCCATTCCTATGATGATGAAAAAAATTAATTACCTTTCTGACTGCATCTCACACTCCATAAAAATACAGCTGTCAACACATGGAATGGACTACTCATAACTTTCCTATTTTTTCAATCTGTACACAAGGTGTGAAGTGAAACCAATTATACAGGGTGTTTCAGTTTTTTGTAGCAGGACTTTAACAGCTTGAAGAAGACATTTTTTCAAGATGAAAATCTCATGCAGACATATATGCGTGGAAGCTTCGTTTCCAATTTACAGGGTGTCAAAGTTTTAGATTATTTTTATGTTTTTTGAATTTTCTCCTACAATTTTCGGAATGATTGATTACAATTTGGTACACCTGATACACTTTGAAAACCTTATATTTGAGGCTATTGAGCGTTTTTGAATACCTACAGAGTGACAGACTTTCAGGGGTCGTACACAGAGATAAAACTTTAATAATGGTTATTAAACATTTAATAGTCACAGTTAAAAACTTGAATACTATATGGGACAGATATACAGTATGATAGTGGTAGATAAAATATTTTACCTGAATTGGTATACCTGCAACAGACACTCAATTATATAGTTCATTGATCGTTAATGAATGAATAGATTTAAAATCAACTCAGGATTATTGAAGTGTTGAATAACATTGATTAGACAGTTTAATTACCATTGAACATTAAGTAATTCCCTTTGAAACATTGCTATATTATCTTACAGACTTCTTCACCTGTTGTAGGTGCACACTTCGATGATAGTTATTCAATAGTTTAATAAATTTTCAATACTATATAGTTGCCACAGGTGAAAAAGCATGCTGTTGCAGAAAAATAGGTGATATTCTCTGAGATATATCTAACTGATGTTAGGTACATCCTTTAATTACTACCATTGACGAATACAATTATTCCACAAACATTATTAAGTTGTCCTCGGATCATGAATTACTCGTCTCTGGAACATAATTTAATTATCTCAGATGTGCAATTCAATTGAAATATTGGAGATGTTCAATGTGGATACCTGAAAAAGGATTTCAGAAACGATCATTCTGATTCCTGATTTCCAATGGCCTGGATATAGGAAAAATTAAAGATATTTTCTACGAGTATCAAGTGCATCCGTGAAAAACATTGAAAATCATGAATCGGAATGATCATTCCTGGTCCACTTTTTTAGATGATGCAGACTCATAGACATTTATTCCTGAATAACAAAAAATGATAAATGAGAAAAATCAAATCATTTCGTATTATTTTTGGTTAACTGTTCATCATTTATCAACATTACAGAATCAATTTTCGAAAGCTGTTGCATATCGTTCAATTTGGATATGTGCTTATTGTTGAATATTGGAGCAAGAAATATTTCATATTTTCAAGGTATCACACAATGGGGATGGTGATTCTATAAAAGAGAAAAAACATTGTACAAAATATAGGTACATTATATAATATATTTTAGTCATTTGTAATTCCAGTACAAACTACATAAATAAATGAACTTGAAATAATTATTTTCAATATACAATTGATAGTTGCCGAACTGACTCATATACAAATATATTTCAGACGTTGATGGAGTATCTGCGGGCGGCGGGGGTACTAGGTCCACTTGAATTTAGATCAAGTGGCATCAAGTTCTAATCAGTTACATCATTACCATCAGCACCCTGAAATTTGAAAATTCCTCTATATAATGTGTTAAGTTTCTCCTATTATTTTCTTGAAAATTCAAACAATTAATCCTATTTCAAGAGATTCATTGGAAGAATAAACTCTTAACAGGTAGCGAACGTCCCGTGAGCCCATCCAAGTAACGCCATCCTTTATAAAACTCTACTTTGACTCAAATCCAGGGACACCGAATAAGAAAAATCAAGATTCGTTTCCTGCAATTTTTTCCCGTGTACCTACTATCAGAAATAAGATTTTTTTGCAAACATTCACAGTAGAGAGTCTTTTCATTTTGATATTTCCCAATTTATTTCTCGGCTTTTGTGAAATATAACTATAAAAACTCCTCTGTTTCGGTAATAACTTGAGATCAATTCATTTATTTTTCTGAGATTATATATTTCCTTTATCTTCAACAAAATTTGAACTACTTAACAAGTGACTTCCTACTGAGATTCCGACACCAGCACAATCGATAAAAATATTGAGAGGTCACCATCAAAATAGGAGATATTTTTAAAATATAACCTCTTCAAATGAAAAATAAATGGCACGAACCACGAATAAAACGGACATATAATATCAGATGTAACAATAAATTGAAAATGATCAACCAACATAAGGAACTAGAGGGCTTAGAATCATTTTCGGAAGGAGAAAAACATATCACTAAAAAACGTGTGTGCTCAAAAAGATTTCTTGTTGCACGGAGAAAAAGGAATGGTATATTACTCACCAAGAAAGAAAGAAGAGTTTTGCGTAAACTTCGCCAAACCCTGCTGTTTCAAAGTGTCGTCGATGAACTGCTTATGCTGCTTCTATTTTTCAACCCTCGACCTGGGGCTAGTCGCTCCATTGTGATAATTTCACTGGGATCAATGTTTTTGGAATAGTCACAATCACTTAACTTACATGCACAACACAAATGTTCCAGAATAGAAAAAGGCACGCATAAGTGTTCGCAAACACCAAAGGTACATATTCTTAGTACAGATACAGACTGAGTTCATTAATAGAATGAAGTGCAGAAGAGTTGCGCAGTCAGCTCGTGGCGTAATCGTGGGTATTCGAAACTAGCCGAATGATGACGAAACAGAGAAATCAAGTGAACTGTTACCTGTTGTTATTAAACTGGTAATAATGGCAGAATTATTCCTTTCACTCATAGAAAACAAGAATTGAGGGACAATTTTATTAATGTTAGGTGGATTGTTGTATACTGAGTATCAAACACATCGATAAAAATTAATCAAGCACAAGAAAGATGGCCTGTTCCAGGAGCATAGTCAACCTGCCACTGGAAGTCGATATCAGAAAAAAAATTTCACCTATTGTAATGGTACAAAAGTTCATTAATATATTTGTGGGTATTGAATTTTACTCAAGTGTACTTGTGTACCTGGACCGTTTTTCTCTGTGTACCCAATTTAACCCTGTAGAACTTTTTTGCGTGCCGTCTCTGCTTTCAATGGGACATATATCCAGATTCATTATCATAGTTAGTCACGCATTTCGGAAGATTTGATGGAAGAATATATACAAATCTTCTGACGTAGGCTAGGATGTACAAATGTTTGGAAATTGGTGCAGTAAACGTTCACACTAAGATGTTTCATCAATGATCTCATTTGATAAATATCGGCTTCCACGATATCTTGAGCCTCATCCGAAATATTATACTAGGTCTAAAGTCTCAACAACTATTCTTTAAACGGTTCTTTCAAAACGTATACATATCAATTTTGAAGGTAGTTAACAACCAAATTGACGATCAAGGGGTTATTTCGACGATGCATGGGAAATAATTATCACAGTTCTGATATGAAAGATTGACAATTAATCTCAGAATGCCAGAATCAGATATATACAATTCACTTCGTGAATCATGATATCGACATATGAATCCTGACCACTTCGTTACTTCTTTAGGAAAGGCTGAGATTTCTTACTTTGCGAAACCGCATATTGAAATGATCCTTGCAACTTCCATTTGATTCGAATATCTTTCTCTCTGTTAGGATTTTAGATATAGCAATATACTGTTCCGATATCAGTGTCGGGACCTCCAGTATAGTATATTCTAGAATGTCAAGACCACGTGGTGGCATATTGTTTGAATATGATGTTTGATTAAACTCCTTTGTGCAAACGATTCCTACACAGTTTCTATTCAGTTTATTTATGGAAGAACATCATTAATCCTATAACAGTTGCTGCGAATTTCGCAAGAATACCAAGATTGTTCCCAGATGAAGTCTCAATAACGTTTCTGATTGTGACTGATTTTTCAATATTCAACAGAAATAAAAATAGATCATAGTGTATATCAATTGGTTCTTCTCTCTTCATCCTGTGTTTATATGGTTTTATGCTGATTGTTTCAAATTATCGTAGATATGTTTGGAATCGATGAATTATATTTCAAGCCAAAATCCGACAGAAAATTGCTCGATTTATCCAGGAAATACCGGTTGCAAAATGAAGCAAAATATGAGTAGATGATCCATTTCATGTATTGAGAACTTATATTATCATTTATTATATAGACCGGAACTCTCCATCTCTTCAATATCTCTAGTAAATTCCCTAATTCTCCCTTGGTGTATTATTAGAGCGAAATCGTTTCAATGCCATGATTTTCATTTCAGAATGTCGATGAACCAGAACTGAATGCCCTAGAAAAAATATTTTGCAAGAACCGCAAAGCACCACTGATGATCGGGTCCGTCAAAACTATAACTGGCCACAGTGAGGCTTCAGCTTCACTATTCTCGATCGTCCAAGTTATCATTGCCATGGAAGCAGGCATCATCCCCGCAACCCTCCAATTTCAAACACCGAATCCGAATATTCGAGCACTCAATAATGGAAATATGGAAGTTGTTACGGATAACAGAAAATGGAGCGCTGAATATGCTGCCGTGAATTCTATTGGTATCGATTCGTACTACGCACACGTTGTTCTAAAATCCAATCCAAAGAAGAAAACTCCTATTGAAGTCAATATACCCACTCTACTTGTCGCATCCACTAGAACTGAAGATGGAATCACTGCCATATTAGAAACTGTGAGTTGAAAACTCTCGAATAATATTCTTCCATCTCTGCGAAATTTTCGTAATAATGTGAAACGCACTGCCCCAGGAGCATCTCAAAGCAATGATTTTTAAGCTTCCATAACATAATTATGTGCCAAATACCTTTGTTTCCGACTTACAGAGTGTTGAGATGTTAACATTTTTCAATTCTTCAGCTCAAACTCGAAATATACGGATTACTCTGTAGGGCTCACATCATGAACCATGATGCCAAATGTTATTGAGGTTCTACAAGGAGATATTCTCCCAGAGGTCACACTCCCTGTTTTTATCCTGAATTTTTTGTAATGCTGGTGGGATAAAGCGAAATGCGATTCATGGTTTCTTCATAATAATTGTTACTTTCAGTTTATTCATATAGGCGACAGTCAATTAGAAAAGAATCAATGTCATGAAAGTCTAATTCGTGTGGTGTTGTACTTCCTGAAAAATATGAAAATAATTAACATTGCAGTATTCGTCAGAAGTAGTGAAACAAAATTGTAAAGAAACACATAACCCTCCAATCATATATTCTGTATGCCATGTAAAAACAAACTGAAATCCCTCTCCTCCGCCTCTGGAGACTTGCGGTAGTCCATAACTTTGGAGGATATTACAGCTAGTAAGGAGGGAGGTATCATTGTGCAAATTGAATAGGAGAGAACTACCTATAATGGCATCCCTAGCGAATAATCTCCGTATCAAAGTAACAAATTGATATTCGAGTGGGTCTCTAGTTTTCCATTACTATATAATTAAACAGTATTGCGAAGGAGTGAGTTTTCAAAAAAAATTCGCTGAAAAACGAAAACATATTTTTAGCCATCATAGGCACTTGATATGATGATATAATTTAATGGCATACTTGATTTCCTATGATGGCATAGGTACTCAATTTTCTATGACGGAAAACTCAATTTTCTATAATGCATAATTATTTCTGATTTTCCGCCATTACTGTCTAAAACAACACGTGACGCCAGCTTTTATGCTGTTTCGTTATTGGTCAGATAATCTTTCATTCCCACCCACGAAGCAATAAGGTTGTCAAGTCACAAATTATAATCACATTATCAAAAAGATGAAATTACAACGACAGTTTTGTCGTTGAATAAAACATAATAGTAGGAACCCATGATGTTTTAGTTCATTCTTGACTCTTCCGAGCAACCAGCATGTCCAAATATTTCTCATGTCATAACAAAATATCATGTAAATGCTGGAGACTTGGCAACATTGTGCTGAATGCTGAGAAGGGACAATACCACGCCCCCAAGTCGTGCGCGCCGTGTTGTCACGTTCACTGCTCCAAATGTGATCTATACCTTTTCAACTTCAATTTCGGAATCGGTAAGTTATATTTCGGAAAAAGTTATCTCGATATCAGAATTGGTTAGTTCGATTTCAGAAATGGTAAACTCAATTTCAGAATCGGTGAGATGAATTTCAGAAAAAGTCCATTCAATTTCAGAATTGGTAGGTTCAATATCATAAAAAAATCCTTATATTTATTCGAAATGTTTCCAATTGCATGTGAGATTAACAAACCATATTCAACTTTTCGAAAACAATTCAATCCAGAGATGCCTTCCATCTGAATCGCTGGAAGATAGTGAGTGACGTTGCACATGATTATAAGAATGCAAACACATTTGAGGTGTTATCATTTTCATTGAATGATCTGCGCATTCTTCAAGACATCGCAGTCTGAATTCTATCTGGTTGAGCAATCTGTTCGGATCCATAGCTATGACCCTTTGACGATGCTCTTGCAAGAAGCTCTTCACTTCTGACTTGAAGGCACCCCATATATGTTCAATCTGATTCAACATAGGGCTCTCAAACACCGTACCATCCACTGTAAACAATCTTCTCTTTTGCAATTAAAAACATTTCAAACATATAAAAGGATTCACCTTCTGAAGTTGATTCTAGCAATAATTCTGAAATACAACTAGGGTTTCACGAGACTCTCGAAATTAGAGATTTCTCGTCTCGTCTCGTCTCGATTTCGAGACGAGATCGAGACGAGACCACTAATTTCTTTTCGAGACGAGATCGAGAAAAACACTTCGAGATTTTTCGAGATTGAGAAATTATTTCGAGATTTCTCGATCTCGAAAAAAATTATGCGCTGCAATAACTCACAGCTCCAAGTACAGTTGTATTCAATAAAGAGGCGTACATATGTATTAAAAAGAGAGGTCAACGTCATCCTAGTTCTTGTTGTGTAAAACTGGCTCAGCCAATGCTTTGTAGCTTTGACAACCTATTACAAATGTCAACATAAGGTGAAAAATCATTCTCGATAGCCCGTTTTACGCAAATAGGATGACGTTAGCTTCTCTCTCTAATACTTGTACGCTATTTTTTTGAATACAACTGTACGCCAGAAAAAAGACAATGAAAAACTAAGCTGAGAAATAATTTCATAATTCATACATTAATTTGCGTTATATCGGGTTGTTCAAGAGACGACTGTTTCGATAATAAAAAATGAGTTTGTGGCAGGTGCTGTTCACGAACGAAGAAACACTTTCAAACATTCACTTTTCGTACCTAGGTAAATTTTAAATGTTCCTATATGGATAAAAGATCGAATTCAAACATCAAGAATTCGTTCAATTTTCATTCTTTCGGAATAATATTCTTCTGTTCTGGATGTATGACAAATCGATATTCATCATACAGGGCGTGGAAAGAAATTCTGAATTGATGAAATAACAAGTTTCCTTCGTACAAGTTTGAATCCCTTGATTTGGATGAAGAAAGTATTGAAAAAGAATATTCTCAGATGTATAATACACTTTGAAAAACTTGATACAAATGCAAATTCAGAAGATTTAATTTTCAAATTCTCATCGTGTGTGTTCAATAGAAATAATTCAATGTTCGTCGTGGCATACAGCCAGGAAAGTGGTTGTTTTTTGTTGAATATACCGAGAAAGAATTAATATTTTCATCACATAGAGAATGCGATTTCTCAATGCATTTCTTAAAATGCATCAATTTTTTTCATGCAATATATCTGAGAATATTCCTTTTCAATACAATATTTTTCCTTTTTTGCTGATGCTCGGCTGTTTGTTTGTTATACGTGGCTTTGAGCTCATGTATTATCATAATTCTTTCATAGAAAAAAATTGATAACCTGTATTTTGATTCAGCTCTGGCCTTGGCCTGTACATAGAATTTTTTAATAACATTCAGTTTTTGTTTTCGAGACTCTCGCAATTTCGAGAGTCTCGAATCGAGATCGAGAAATTGTCTGGGAGAAAAACATCGAGACGAGAGTTTGTTAATTTCTCGTCTCGATGATCGAGACGAGACGAGAAAGTGCCTTCGAGACGAGATTTCTCGTCTCGATGAAACCCTAAATACAACTTACCATTTCTGAAATTGAATGGACTTTTTCTGAAATTCATCTCACCGATTCTGAAATTGAGTTTACCATTTCTGAAATCGAACTAACCAATTCTGAAATCGAGATTACTTTTTCCGGAATATAACTCACCGATTCCGAAATTGAAGTTGAAAAGGTATAGTGTGAATTAATATAGTTACTATTTACACAAATGTCTTATGAGCAATAAGTTACGAATCATAAGGGAACATTTTGTATCGTTAAATAGGAAAATCACCAAAACATAATTGAGAATTCATGAATGTTTTTAATAACTAATATTTCTGAAATTCCCAATCGTATTTCAACACATAGCAACTGTGCTATGGTCTGCCCATACTTACGAAATCGGACGTTAGTTTTTACTCGCGGTAAATTACTATCGGTTTGAAAATTACCGTGGCATTATTGATGATTATAGCACCTGAAAATCGACCAAAAAATTTCAAAAAAACATGAAATTGTGGGGTATTTGAGTGATGATTCTATTTAAGAAATAAAAAAAAATAATAGAGAAAAACCCAAAGTCGTCTCCTTTTTCTCTATTGATCATTCCACTCCACTTTCAGAATGGACTACTACAGAAGATTAAAAAAAATTAGTTCACTCGCCTATTATCTGGTAGATAAAATGAATTTTCAACCTCTCCAATACCCCATAACCCGCAACCAATGAGATATGAAACATGATCCAGAAATTGTTGATTTAACTAATACATATAAGAATTTTTAGATGGAGTTCGATATCAGACGTGTATTCACTGAGTTTCCTTAGAGCACGATTAATGGGAGATTTTTTTTCCCTTCGAGGATATTAATATGTTGGGCCCTTTTCAACTCCTCATCAATTATCCAAATATCAAAATATCCAAACATAAACACAGTTTCAAATGTTCAGCACTTGAAGACAGAGTTTTGTTTATTTAGATAACTGATACGTTGCTGTTTTATGAATAAAAATGTATTTTGCTTCACCATAGCATATGTCAATGTTTCTGATTTTCAGCTGAAAAACAAACCTCAAGATCCAGAGTTCTACAAATTGGTACAAGACGTATTTTCAAGGCCAATCCAAGGACATCTCCATAGAGGTTACATGCTGTTTGGAGAGGAAGGACCAAAACAAGAGACAAGTGTGAGTATTGGCTCGAATTAATTTCCTAATCTATTTTTCCGAAACTAAATGACGATATGCAATAGGAAGTTATGAAGATATAAACAAATATTCCTCATTATTGTTGTCCTCAAGAATTATAAGTATCTGGATTCATTAAAGTATGAAGTTTTTTCATCTCTGAAAAATTTGCAAGGATTATAATACATTCGTCAAAAAGTGCCGCAACTTTTATCGTTCTCGTAAGTACATAACCTGGCTTGTGAAATAACCAAATAAGTGAATTCACCATTATTTTCGGAAACTTTTTTCTTGCGGAGAATTCCTGTTTCTTGTACTCTCCTTACGTTGGCAGTTTTTATTGTTCGGTGGTTGCATATCGATGAGTTCTAAACGATGAAAGGACTTTCATAATGCATAAAAATAACTAATTATCCATTACTCAATATGAAAACACGTTTCGTAATCACTATACCTAAGTCAACTTCTTTCCGTTACTTCGATCAGATATAATTGAAGTTATCACTTTTTTGCAGTATCATCAAGGAAACAAGCGTCCAATCTGGTTTGTTTATGCCGGTATGGGAAGCCAATGGTGTGGTATGGCCAGTGATTTGATGAATATCGAGGTGTTCGCAAAGTCTATCAAAAAATCTCATGATCTGCTAGCAACCAAGGGTATTGATTTACTCAACATCATCACAACGTCTGATAAAACGATATTCGATAATATTCTACATTGTTTCGTTGGAATTGCAGCTATCCAGGTATTTCTTCGTTGTTACGATTAAAGTCATTATACAACATCGCCTCATTCATATTGACATATAGACAACTTATTCCCAGGCAACCAGATGACGTTTCAGTGACGTCTCTTTACGTCAGTTGAATGACCAAGGTGACGTCATATGTTGTGATAAATGACGTGAATTAGTCACAGTCCAATGACGTTATATTACTCACGTTTATTGACGGCATTCGCTCACCAAACTGTGACGTTGGGCTGAAGTCGACATGACGTTATCCCTCAGTACGCATCTCCATCAGAATGAAATCAGTTACTCGTATTTGTATAAAAAATTATGTAGTTTGTGTAGGCGAGATGTAAGCTACCCAACTAGCATTTATAGTCGCGATTACGTAATTACGACTATTGGGTCGACTATTAAGTAATATTTACTAGTTGCGGTTACGTTATAATTACGTCGTTACTACGTATTTACGACCAAAATGGGGAACAAATCACGAGTAATTATTACGGTTTGCCGACGTAGCGGGAACTCACACAATTACGTAATGCTTACGACCTGTCGACGTCGAAACTACGTAAAGATGTAGTAAATTTTCCTACCTGACTTTCTATTTCTTTTCCACTTCATAAAAATATTATTTTCTCTCTTTATTATTCTTCATTTCATCCATGAAGTTCACATTCACGAAAAATGAACAAGTCCAATATGCCTAACCATTCAATAAATAATACAAGGACAAACACGCGAAATAATTGATACTCGAACTTGAAAAATTCGAACAACATTCAGTTTTTCGATAAATGTGATGATTTTGCCTCGAAATTCAAGATGCGCCCACAAAATACGGCTCATTTCACCAAAAATATGGTTTTATTTCATTCGGCTATTTTTCAAAAATCATCGTAAATCATGTTAATTTCCATTATTATGCAATTTGTGATCGAACGAATGCTATTATTCTTCATAAAATGATGTTTATCAACAAGAAAAACCAAAATTATTTCCTGTTCAAATGGTTATCACATCAATCAATATGGCTTCCAATCGAAAATGAATCAGAAAGTTACTTTTGGAACTCGTCAGTTATGATAACCTATGTATTGGTAACTTCAACTGAATATAATTACCGAAAAGTTGTTTCAACTATGAAGGAATTGTTTGAGTAGGAATTACCAATATGTTACTTGAAATATCACTAAGAATTGACTAAATTATTAGGTGATCGATCAAGTAACGACAACGTCGTAGAAACCTAATTGGTGACCATAGAGTAATTGCAACTGTGAAGCCTTCTTGGGGTGGTAAGCGTTACCGTAATAATATATCCAAAGTTCCGAAACCTTAAGAGTAGTTTTGAGGAGTGACAGTTTCGAAATAGTTACTTCGTAATAAGCCATGAGAATTTCTCACTTTGAAGTTATTATCTAGTGTAAAAACTACGTAATTTTCACTCACTAAATAACTATCACTGACATTTATACTATGAAGTTCTGAAATAAGTGATAAATACGTTATTATCACTAAATATAGCTAATAGTTTCTTGAACCATGGTGCCTGTGACTGAAAATGCTAGTTGGGAGCAAACCAAAGATAGTTTGATAGCAATGAAAAGGATGTTGGCGAATTTAGCTTCACTTTGTCGAGTAACGTATATTCATGAATCATTTGTCATCCAACAAAAATCTAAAAAGCAAATTATTGAAACATTTTCTGAATGTCATAAATACGTCACTGCAACGTCATTAAAGTATAAAAGGTGTCAAAGTTCAAAAAAAGTTTTCTCTTATCTTTTGAGGATATATAATTTAGGTACGTCACAAAACTAACGGTTTCACGATGTAAGTATAAGAACATGATTTGGATATGCTCTGGGAAACAGGGACGTCGACAGGACGTCATGAACGTCATGAACTGACGTCTCATTTTAACATTCTAAGTGACGTTCACTCGACGTCGAGATAATGACGTGATTCTCACGTCCAAGAAAGAACGTCATTGTGACGTCTCTGACGAAATATCACCAATTAGGGACGTCACAGTCACGTTATCATTCGTCATATGGTTGCCTGGACCACGAACTGAATGTCTGTTAACTCCTATGAATTCCTTCAGATTGCTCTTACTGATGTATTGAGAGCTCTTGGGATAGAACCCGATGCAATTATTGGTCACTCGGTTGGAGAATTGGGATGTGCCTATGCTGATGGTTGCATGACCGCTGAGCAGATGATATTGTCTTCCTATTCAAGGGGTCGTGCTTCTTTGGAAGCGACTTTGATTCCAGGGATGATGGCTGCTATCGGTGAGTGCCAATGTTACTTTAAAATAAGATATTTCTCTCCTCAATTGTTTCATTATTATCTATATAACCTTGATTATTATCCTCGTATGATTTTTAAACCAATCAGAACCTTGTATAATTTCGAATATATGTGGATATACATAGAGTAGCTCCACCAATCAGAAATTTGAAATGATTTCCATTTCCATAGTAACTAATTCATATTGTATATTGTTACATACAAACAAAGCGCTTCGTCAAATTCTGACGTTCGTTCAGACTACTCGAACAATAATCGGATCGAATACAATTCAAACTTCAAAATCTTCAAGGTTATACATCTCGAACTTCGTGCACAATAATTACAAATCGTGTCAGTTAAATCGCGATTGGAATATTTCAACTGTTAAAATGACACTTTTTGTAATAATTATGCAACAAGTTTACGATGTATAACCACTATTTTGAAGTACTTATAGCAAAGATTACTGAATGAATAGATTATCTTCTGTAGTTTATACTTACAAGGTACTGAATATATTCATCATAAACACATTCATAATGCCTATGTCCCTAAATGATGATTAATTAGGAGAGCAAAGAGGTGAATGTTATACAGGGTGTTCATTTCAGGACTTCCCACCCTAATTTTCTCGAAATATGTGTATGTTTTTGAAAAATCCCGAGACATGTCAACTACATTTTTGAGGGGGACATGGTTCTAAAATATTTTCAGCCCCGCGGCGTTGCCGCTTCTAACGAAAAGAAGCAACAACTTTGTTATTTCAAATAGAACACCCTGTATTTTATTGCATTTTCAGATTCTCCCTGAAAAGCTGATTTCATCAATGTATCACACTTGGGGTCTAGCAGGAATGATTACAGAGATATAGGGTGTTCAAAATCGAGATTTTACAACTTTAGGATTTTTTTGAGTCGAAACTATTCATTATTGGTCAAAACGGCTCTTATGTCCCTATCTCAACTTTTGATTTACTATCTACTGACATTTATTTGAAACAAATACAGGGTGGTTCAAGATTCAGACTTTTGATCACCCTGTATTTGTTTCAAATAAATGTCAGTAGATAGTAAATCAAAAGTTGGGATAGGGACATGAAAGCCGTTTTGACCAATAATGAATAGTTTCGACTCAAAAAAATCCTAAAGTTGTAAAATCTCGATTTTGAACACCCTATATCTCTGTAATCATTCCTGCTAGACCCCAAGTGTGATACATTGATGAAATCAGCTTTTCAGGGAGAATCTAAAAATGCAATAAAATACAGGGTGTTCCATTTGAAATAACAAAGTTGTTGCTTCTTTTCGTTAGAAGCGGCAACGCCGCGGGGCTGAAAATATTTTAGAACCATGTCCCCCTCGAAAATGTAGTTGACGTGTCTCGGGATTTTTCAAAAACATACACACATTTCGAGAAAATTAGGGTGGGAAGTCCTGAAATGAACACCCTGTATAATATATAATTGATTTTTGATATTTCTTTCTCATAAAGGTCTCTGGAGAAAATGAAATTACCAACAATTTGTCAAATGAATTCATCTTTATATACTGATGGATACCTACCTCGTTTATAGTGTGCCAGAAAATGGCTTTTTTGCTTGCATGTCATTTTTTCATCATTTCAGAAACAAATAATATTCGTGATAATAATGATATAGTTGATCGCAATAAACTCACTGATGACTAGGGGAGAAATAATAATTCAACTGTTGCTTCAGTATAATTTCTGTTGGAGTGTCGATTATTATTTGGACTCTCTTCGTTAGTGATCTATAGTTTCGGTCATGGGCGCCTCCAGGATTTCTCTCAGGGAGGTGCATCTGCCTCCTATTGTGTAATAGAATATCAGTTATAATTCCTGATCAATCGATCGAACATTGAATATTTTAGCCATAACTGCACTACATAATATTCGGTTGCGATTGTCTTTATTTCGAAGATAAATCCATTGGGTATATGACTATTTGGGCCGCTAATGGAAATACATGGTGGCAACGGCTTATACAAAGTGATGAAAAACTCCAACAAAATGTTGAAAAATTCTCTTCGTTCCCAATTTTATGGAATATATTGGAGATTTTTTCCAATTTAATTTTCATAATGCTCAAGCGTATTCCTTGAAATCATTCTGCAATTGTTCCTTATCTCTTCAACCAATAAGAAAAACGTTTTTCGAAATTAGTGTTATTTCGTAGTTTTGACAAGAAATATCTTAAATTGCAGCGCTATTATATTGATGGATTCTTTTTTGGATGGGTGTTTGTGACCTATACTTGTATAAACTCTCATGTTCCTCATGAAAAAGCGTTTCGCAAAAATAATAAATAGATGACCAAGCAGAAGCACAACACAATGATAAACTCATATAATGTTCAAAATTGAATGATAGGAATTGGCCTGGAGATTCCACAACGTAACGAGAGAATTAATATACAGTGTGATACACCAAATTCGATAGAATTTGTATTCCCAAAAACTACTAGAGTTCATAAATTTATGCTATCCATCGAACTCAACTTCTTACTTATCATTGCAACGTCGCTCAGTGTGGAATTCACGAGGTGAGACACGATAACAAGATGCTTTTTCTCTGTTTGACAATTTTGAAGAAGAGGTAATTTCGTCTTCTCAAGAAGTCATTGTTTTTGGTGGATCATTCTTGCTGAATCAACAATGACTGCTTGAGTAAAGGAAGTGAACTCTTCAATGATGCTTATGAGAGGAATGAGGGAAATGTTGTGTCGCAACTTTATCAATCCACACTGAAAGACATTCTGATGATGAGTGAGAAGTCATTGTTGATAGATCACATACATTTTCTATAACGTGGGCCAAAAGAAGTCATCCGATGTTGATTGCTATACGGGCTCGTTTTATGGCAATTTTCATCACTTCGGCGAGAACTTCGGGCGACAGATTCTGGCAGTCGTGTCGAATGTTGTCCTTGAGGGCTTCCAGGGTCTCAGGCTTGTTCACCTAAACACAAGACTTCAAAAAACCTCACAAAAAAGCCTGAAACTGTTAAATCGGGCGATCTCAAAACGAGAGATGAGGCGATCTGGAAACGCCGCCTCCAGAATATAATTTGTGGCTCGCGCAGTGTGTGCCGTTGCTACGTTCTGTTGGAACCACATGTCCTCCAGTCCTAATTCTTTCAATTGCGATAGAAAAACTTGGCGAACATGGCCCTATAGCGCGCACCGTCCACTGTTGTAGTTTGTCCAGCAGCGACCTCGAAAAAAATGGCCCGATGACTCCTCCAGAGTGAACAGCGCACCATGCAGTCACTTTCAGCGGGTGTAATGACTCCTCGTGCATCACTCGTGGATTTTCAGTGCCCCAGAAGCAATTGTTCTGCTTGTACCCGCTGAGGTGGAAATGAGACTTGTCCCTCATTATGATTTTGGTCGAAAAATCATTCACTTCGTACACGAGATTGAGGATGGCTTGGCTTGGATTAGTCCACGTTCTTGGGGAGTGTATCGCTCCATGGGGAGTGTATCGCTATGGAGCGATACACTCCCCAGGACTTGTATTCTACATCTGTCTAGTTCACAAATGTCGAAACAGATTCGACATTGGCCGCCATTTGCAGAAATAAGAGCATCTTCCAATAGGGTGATTTCTTTTGGCCCACCTAGTATATGAATTCCAGAAGTTTTTGTAAATATACAACTTCCATCGTATTTGGTGTATCACCCTCTTTCTATATTGTGCAAACTCGAGAAAAATTGTTGTCATTCAATCTTGAACACCATATAAGTTCAGCAATGTGTGTATTCTTGCAAAACACTCTGTATATAAAGAAATACGATCTCATAATGAAATAATGAATTCTTGTGAAATTAGATTTTTTCTATGAAATACGAGGTCAATTTGATACAAACATTTATTTTACAAAGAAGTGAAAAAACATTTATGAATTGATTATGGCCAGGGGCGGCCTCACAATATCGATGAATAACAATAACAGCAGTTAAGATATCAAATTCAATTCAATAAATCATTCCATAATGCACGAGTCTGGTGAAACTAATCGAGAATATATATAATAAACAAAGTGATATGTTAAATAAGGGATTGAAATATCAATTGCACCCACAACAATCATCTTCATAGAATATGTTATATAACATCAGTCTCATAACGGATAAAAAAGGTTTATAATGATTATAATATGCTAACAAACCTTGCACAGCTACATACATTTTTCTCATTCGCAGATCAAGGTATCACCACTCAACCAGCGAAATCCACATACTATAAGAATAAAGATTATCAGTCGTTTCTATTAACAATAACAATAATCTCTGGAAACTAACACTCGATTTTCCTATCTATCAAAGTAAATGCAAAATGTTAACAATTTCAATATTACGTAAAAATAACGAACACGTTCACCGCACTATTCTAACATGGCATGCCGAATTGTCTGCCTCTGGCCTCGATCATAGCACGCTATCAATATTATTTTGTCATCGACTGATGGTTCCAGGGTGGACAAATAAGAACGGTTACATTCTTTTTCTTGAAATCTTGAGAAGATCAGACAAAATTGCCACCAATTACCAACTCGATTCATATACTTGTAGTCAAGTTGGGAGTATGAAGATCGAATTTCTCAATATTTAGCAGATGCTTGTTTGTCTCCCTGTAAAACTAGATGACACCATAAATATTATCCATCAGCAGCTAAGTAGTCATATAATGGATTTATCTCCGAAATGAAGACGAATATTCAATGTAGATAACTTAATTAACAAATTCCGCCAAGAGGCAAGTGCACCTCCTTGCACTCTGCTGATGGCGTCCATCAATAATAGCTAAATGAATGTACCCATACTGATCAGTTTGAGATATTTCGTTCATTTTGAAATATTATGTACATGAAAAATTGTCTCTCCAATATGTCAATCATTCAAGGTCTCGGCTACAACCAGATCAAAACTCGCCTGCCACCCACCATCGAAGTAGCCTGCCACAACGGGTCTGAGAGCTGCACCATCTCTGGTCCCACACAAGACATGGAAGTATTCGTCAAACAATTGCAGGATGAGGGAGTTTTCGCCCGTTTGGTTAACGTCGCCAACATCGCTTACCACAGTCGCTACATCAAGCCCGCTGCTCCTCTTCTGCTAAAGTACCTTAAGGACGTACTTCCGCAACCGATGCCCAGGTCGTCGAAATGGATAAGTACTTCCAATCAAGAAAGCGACTGGGATACCGATCTGGCCAAACATTCCTCAGCCGAGTACCATACGAATAATTTATTGAGCTCGGTTCTTTTCGAGGAGGGGTCCAAGCATATTCCTTCTGATGCTATTATCATTGAGATTGCGCCTCACGGGTTGCTGCAGGCTATTTTGAAGAGGTCCGTGAAGGACGCTACGAATGTGCCGTTGACGCAGAGAGGAGCTAAGAGTGGGGTGGAGTTCCTTCTACAAAGTTTAGGAAAGTAAGTGAGACAACTAATATAATATCACTAACATCGTGCAAAAGTTAAAAGCGGAAGTTGCCACAAATAATATGAATTGTTTGCTTAGTGTGAATATCGATAATACAGAAAGACCAACAAGATGTTATTCAAATTCAGGGTTTGGTGGGAAAACTCCATACCTCTCAGTATATCGTTCTATCGTGGTGTATGATAATGTTTCAATTATTGATACACAAGTTTCCAGAAAATTGTTGTTCCATCTACAAGAGTCACTGTCTTGTAGTGTTCAGGAACGAGAATACCAGCACTATACTAGCACCCGAAACGAATGTCTATAGCTACACCGATTCCATCAGTGGCCCTCTGAATTCTCATGCGTACATGATGTCACTGAAAATACGAGATTTATGCAAGAGGCAATTCTTTCTTAATTGATATAATTTCCAAGTAAACGAATAGTACATCAACGATTGTGGGTCAAGTCTGCTGCTTGGCTTCAGTCCCTAGGAAAATCGACGTTTTTCCAGGAAGAAGGTTTATTTAAACCTAGTTAGGTTGGATTGTTAAAAAAAATCAATCTACTTGTTCTCTCAAGTAATTTTTTAGGACATACTTTTGAGGGATGTTCATATGGGCCACTTTGGGTAATATTGTTTTGAAATGGTAATCACTTCTGTTCTCTTAAGTTATTTTACGAAAAATGTGATTTTCAGAAAGAAGGTCCATTCAGGCCGGGTTAAGTTAGATGTTGCCGAAATGAAAGTCTTCTTTCTTGTATAGAAAGTATATTTTCCTTCCTGTTATTACGTTATTACAAGTCTTCGATGGCTTGCCGCGTCGCTGCTCTGTACACCTGAACACTGCAAGACGGCGAGACTCTTGTTTTCAATATCTCCTGAGATCATGTGACCCAGTATCAACTATTCCTATTATTAAAACGGTGTGAACTGATATCAATATTGAATTGGAACCAATTTCATTAGCACATCTTTAAGGAGCTGTAACCCACTAAGATGTAATCCACAGACTAATTTTGCTTCGAATCATTTTCTGGGGAATCAGCTCAGCCGAAATTTTGGTAGAGTTTTGAAACACCTTAGAGTCAAGTTTCTCACGTTATCAAGATAATCTGATCCTCAACAAACTATAAACATCTATTGAACCATGATCTATGATTTTTGCGGAGCTGAAAACTATAAGAGGAATTTGTGACAGAAGTGGTCCCAAAATTGGGCGTTTTCACCGTCTATCTCAATAACTAGAGGAGTTATCGAAAAACCGATATACATGTGCCGGGTTCGATTTTGGAGAAACCTCGAATGGCACAATCAAAATTTCGATATCTTCATTCGTTTTAGAGATACAGGGGGAAATTGAAAATTTGCCGATTTCGATTTTATTTTCTGACTACTTTACGGTGGGAGGTATCAAAAAATTTTGAACGTATATTCATACAGTATGATGCGTGCAATCCATTGGCATCATCAGAAATTTTATACAGGGTGACGTTGAAAAGATACGGCAGCCAATTATGTTTTTTCTAATGGAACACCCCGTATATTTTGGCACAGTTGAATAGTCCCAGGCGTTCTCATTACAAATATATATATAACCCTACCTTTTCCTTCCACAATTCCAGATATACTCGCAAAAATATATTCAGTGTGTCACATTTCTTATGGTTACACCCCCGTATCTTCTGTAAAAATATTTGAGGTAGGATTCAAAAATTCGCAACTGTCAGAAAGATACAAATGATACACTCATGGAGTCATGGACCAAGTGGGATCATCTCCAATGATAACACTGCTCGCCAGCAGCTATGGAATCATCGATATTTCTGGATAATGCTATCAACAGGCAGAATCGAGGTTGAAAATGACACTCTGTATATATTCATCAGAAGTGGAAAATGAATATCAAAGGGAATGTTATTTCCAGACAAATGGATATTTGGTGAGAAATAAAATGGGAAATTATTCGATTTGATATCATTGTAATCAAGATATCAAATCGAATAATTTCCCATTTTATTTCTCACCAAATATCCATTTGTCTGGAAATAACATTCCCAATGATATTCATCTTCCACCTTTGGTGAATATATACAGAGTGTCATTTTCAACCTCGATTCTGCCTGTTGATAGCATTATCCAGAAATATCGATGATTCCATAGCTGCTGGCGAGCAGTGTTATCATTGGAGATGATCCCATTTGGTCCATGACTCCATGAGTGTATTATTTGTATCTTTCTGACAGTTGCGAATTTTTGAATCCTACCTCAATTATTTTTACAGAAGATACGGGGGTGTAACCATAAGAAATGTGACACACTGAATATATTTTTGCGAATATATCTGAAATTATGGAAGGAAAAGGTTAGGTTATATATATATATTTGTAATGAGCACGCCCGTGACTATTCAACTGTGCCAAAATATACGGGGTGTTCCATTAGAAAAAACATAATTGGCTGCCGTATCTTTTCAACGTCACCCTGTATGAAATTTCTGATGATGCCAATGGATTCCACGCATCATACTGTATAAATATACGTTTGAAATTTGTTGATACCTCCCACCGTGAAGTAGTCAGAAAATAAAATCGAAATCGGCAAATTTTCAATTTCCCCCTGTATCTCTAAAACGAATGAAGATATCGAAATTTTGATTGTGCCATTCGAGGTTTCTCCAAAATCGAACCCGGAACATGTATATCGGTTTTTCGATAACTCCTCTAGTTATTGAGATAGACGGTGAAAACGCCCAATTTTGCCCACCCTGTACACACTCCTTGTGTCCTTGTGTCTGCATTTGCTCACTCCTGGAGATGGAAATTCCAATTTCCAACCTCCAACGTTCGCTCTGCTTGCTCTTTTGATTTTCTATATTTCATGAAGCAATTATGCCATGCTTCCTAATATAAAACATGATAAGCTATATCGAAACCATGATCACCTAATACACCTGTTCCAGAAGTTGTAGGCGAGTTATCAAATAGCACTCATTAATTATTTATTTCCAGGTTGTACTTGGCAGGTATGGATATGCAAATATCGAACATATACCCAAAAATCGAATACCCAGTGAGTAGAAATACTCCTGGTCTTGGTGATTTAGTGCACTGGAATCATGCTGACATTTGGACCAAAGGCGAAGACACTTCTAAATCAGGATATGGTATCAAGGATGAGCTGATTTCTCTCAATAATGAAGAATTCAGGGAATTCGTTGGAAATCATTTGAACGATAATGTCGTTCTACCCATCAGTTACTATTTGGTAAGTGCATCACAAAAAGGGAAAGATTCATTCGATTTTTGTGTTGATTTCCAAGTGATTGTTCTAATGCCTAGTTGGGCAACTGTAGATAATGCCCTTTTTGAGGGAGGGACAATCGACTCTTATAGATATGGAAATATACAGACATACATCGTATGCAAACTTTCGCTAGTTGGTCCGGGGGCGAATGCCTTCAAATTAAAATATACTGGCCAGAGTGCGTCTGTTTCAACACGAGGTACCACAATATGTGCCAAATAATTTGACCACTGAACATTGCTGGAGATAAAAAGGCAAACATTTTCATTGAGCGGAAATTCATACACAAATGATTGGATGATTGAAGAAAAAACTATTGAAACCATGTGCCTTCGAGGGCATTTATGTATATATACAGTGTGTTACAATTTATTCCACCCCACTTATGTACTTTTAGTAAGACGATTTGAGAATCTTTTCCTCTCATAATATACTACTTCAAATTATCTACTTTGTCGAGCAAATAAAGAATCAATTGCAAGCCCACTGCGATCACAAAAGCTCTAACAAAATTGAAGGAAATGAACCAGGCATTTTTTTTCGAAACATTAGATGATGTCAATCGATTTGGACTAGCCACAAATACTCCTGAATGAATTTTCAAAACAATATCCCATGAAGGGTGTTTTTTATCATCAATTTTTACAGTGTGAGAAATTCAGATAATATAATTCACATAAAAAACACCCCTTATGAGATATTGTTTCAAAAATTCATTTAGGAATCCTAATAATTTTGTTTCGTTCGACAAAGTAGATAATTTTGAGTAGTATATCATGAAAGAAAACGAATTTCAAATTGCCCTACGGATACCAAAGTATAGGGATGGCGTGGGGTGAACCAAATTGTAACACACTGTGCATATGGTGAGAGGAAAATGTAATTTCTCACCAGAACTTGAGAAGAAATATCACGGTCTCTCAGAAAGAAATAACTGGACGAGATGCATCATCATATATACGTGAATTCGCGATAGTTATTCCACCAAAATGACTATCATCCTTGTATCATAGAGCCTGATAATTGATATTACTTCTTCATCTTCGAATAGCTTCATGATGCGATGGATAATAAATACTGCCTATTTGTATAATGTTCTGAAATCGGAAGATCCACACATTTGAGAATAGAAATCTATAGGAGTTCAGTGGTAATAATTTCAGTTGAATCCTTATGGGATAATCGAATACTGGTTTGATGATACCGAATTATTTTCAGGAATCTTTGTTTCAATGTACAGACAAGATGACAGGAGAACGCACTGAGGTTATTTTCGAGAACCTCCACTTCAGAAAACATCTTGTCATCCCTAGGGCCGGATTCGTTGCGTTCAACGCTATGGTCCAAAGTGGCAGTGGTGAATTTGAAATTTACTCAGACGATGATTTGGTTCTAACTGGGAAAATAATTTACCCACTGAGCGGAGACGAGTTTGTTTTGGAAAAAGCGGAAGTTCAAACTAACACTGAAAACGTTCAGTTGACCAGGAGTGATTTCTATAACGAATTGCAACACAGAGGCCACACTTATTCAGGATCTTACAAGTCTTTGAGAAGTCTGACCCTTGGTGAAGAAGGTAAGGTCATATTGAATGCTCAATAACAACTTTTTATAATTTATAGCAGTGAGTGAGGGAATGTTGGTACCAAGCAAACATTTTGATATTGGGCATTAATGGCCTAATATATTTCCCCTATACCTGACATCAGCGGTCCAGTAAATGGTCCCATATGCGGGACTCTGTATATTGATACACTGTGGCCTTCAGCTGGTGTCAGTGCCTGGGTACCCAGCAATCATATCCAGTTCCCAAGAAAAAAGCCAGTACAACATTATCGACATACTGAGTTTCCCATAGCGAGCCCAGCATATACATATATGATGGGACTGTAAAGGCCAATTATCGACTTCGGTTACATACTATCGAGGTACGGAGAAGGGTAGGGGTTTTAAGGGTCCAATGGATCTTCAAAGTTTTAGTGACTTCAGTTCTATAATGAAAAAAGGTTTACATAACCTGAGATTACATTTGATAGCACCGAACTAGTTGAACATGATAGTTATATGCTTCTAGAGAGGTATAGAGCCACTCCAATCCAATAATTATCATCATGAGGTATAATATGAGGTTATGAGATACCAAACACATTTATTGAATAATGAAATTTGGAACAATATATATAGGTGGATTGATACTTACTCAAAATTATCATAATTGAAGAATCCATCTTATATATTATAAATTGGGAATACTTTTGCCATCTTAAATAACGACCAGAAGAAGTGGGAAGCACAATAATTCGACAATCATCACTAGAGTCATAATGATCCAAATGATCAGCTGATTGTTGACGTAGACTTTCCTAGAATATTCACCAGGGGGCGAGTAGTGAGCAGGATATTGGCAAGCCCAAAAGTCACAAGTCGTTAGTGTTCAACTCGTTCCAGACATCTTACCATCGCAAGGCTGTCATCGTTTTTGTAAACGATGGTTACTTAGCATAAGAACATCATCGGTCCATTACCAATACCATCGTCACTTTCCCAGACTTGCCTGCACTAGACCGGACTTCTCAATGTTTGCTCGTTTGCTGGGTCAATCGTTTTTCTCAGGGTCCTTCAATTTTTCATTGATGACATTTCTTAATTTTGTTGGAAATATTATTTATGATGAAGTATCAAACAAAAGGGGGAGCAATATTGAAGCCAGGTGACATAGGTCTTTTTTATTTCAAACTCATGAACTGCTGACTAATAGAACATCGAACTGTCGAACGTTTCTTACAACATTCCAACTTTGAAGTAGCAGTATACAAAATACCACGCGATGGAAGCAATATTCAAAATATTACGCAATAGATGCAGTGCAAGAGTATCGACATCATCCAGAGTTCATCATTGCAAGACACATTTCTCATTCGATTCAAGAAACACCTTGACACCTCTGAAGATTTGAATTGAAGCTCTACCTGGGGTGATTTATCTAATAAAATAATCATTCATGTTCTATATATCGCTTCCAATATGAACTCTCATCGTGTTTCAGGATCAATTGGTATTATTGAATGGAAAGAGAAATGGACCTATTTAGTGGACGCCATGCTTCAGCAACATCTCTTCCAAGCTGGTGAGAGAAGTCAAGAAGTTCATGTGCCCAAACTCATTCAAAGAGTTGCCTTATCATTCCCTCAATTACCTACAAATAAAACGGACGTCGAAGTTGCCTATGAATACGCTACGAACATCATTTCCACTGATGGTATTCAGATTTCTGGAACAACTACTGTACCATTAGAAGTGGAAGATAATTGTCACTTAGATGCTATCGAATGTGTACCTCTATCCAGTCAATTCTCAGTAAGTATTCAAAACATGAGACTATTCTGATTCTTCAATTTGAATACAAATGAAAATAGATATGGGAGTGATATCAGAAGCTTCAGTTAAAAATATGTACATATTTGATCCAAAACATTCAGGTTAATATAATATGTCTGTTTTTTCCACCTAGTTCTTCAACCATGACCTGTTCAACATCGTATTTGTTTTGTAGAGAATTGAGTCTGGAATAGAATTCGCCATTCAACTAGCAGCTGCAAACTATAGTGAGCTCGAAATGAAAACTGTTTTTATAACTGAAATTGAATCGACCCACAATTTAGGCGAAAAAATAAGGAATGTCATGAACGAATCTAAACAACTCAACGTGAGTATCATAGTGTTATTCTATGGAAAGAGATGATTGATACATTGTTTTCTCTATTTTCACTTTAATTTATATCTTGCAGATCAATTTTTCATCAGTAGCACAGACTAAACAAATTGTAATTCATCAGTCACAAGCACAGCTATTCGTTTATAATGATGCAGCAAACGATCAAATTTTGAAATTACTATCAACTGCAAATATCCTCCTGTTGACTAGGCCGAGTAAAAATATCCTCTCTGACCCTCAAATAATTCAAGCAGCAGAATTCACTACAGGCTCAGATAATTACGTCATTATCAGGAAGGTGAGTTGTGCATCATTTCATGGTACTCATATGGAAAAAGCAATCCTTGAAACAACGTTATTTTCAGGCAAATACAGCCAAAGTTCAAACTATCAATATCAGAGGAGACACTCTCAGTATCAAGGACCTCAAGCGCGGCTCAGTTACATGGGTATCAGAACTGAACGCAGCAGCGGAGGAAGCAATGCAAAAATCACAGCTAGTTTATCTCATCACTTCTCTAGTTCCCGTTGAAGGTTTCTACAATTTCGTTCAAGAATTGAAATCGTCTCCGAACATGAAATGCCTTCGTATAATTTTCAACTTGGACAAAAAATCCGTGGATTTCACCGCCATCATCCAGCGGAATCTGGTAGTGTCGATACTTAAAAGTGGTACTTGGTACAGTTACCTGCCTCTCTCTTGTGCCTTCAAAGACAATATAGAACTCAATAACTGTGCTGTTCCTGGCATCATTGAAAATAACACCATCAGCTATATTAGCGTTAATTTGAGAGACGAAACTCTAAACCCGGCTCGTCCAAAACGGAATGAGGTAGGCAACATCGATTATGCTGGAATCAACAAGAATGGGGAAGAGATCATGGGATTAGCTTATTTGGATAAAGACAGTACGAAATTGGTACCTGATACGATATTCTCCTGGACATTGCCAGAGAGTTGGAGTCTGGAAGATGCTGTTACTGTACCACATGCTTATGTTTGTGTAAGTAAACATCTCATTATATTGATTCAATGCCATATTCATGTGAAAAAGAAACTCTTCCTCTTATAGTCAATGCAATAAGTCCCTATTACAAGGTGCTATTACACTGTTCGGAGAATACATAATAAATATTATTTTACAGGTCATCGGAGGTTGTTTTAATCAGAGAGCTTTGCGAATAGAAATACTCGATAAGTTGTATGCTGATATATTACAGTCACCCTGTGTTGGCAACTGACTGTTCAAACAAGCATGCGCTATAGAATTTCTTTCATATTTATTCGTTTTTCTAGGCATATTATATGTTGATGGTAAAAGCCGGTATGAAGCATGGAGATACAGTTTTAATTCACGCTGGATGTTCGCCTATTGGTCTAGCAGCATCTTCGATAGCTCACACCCATGGCTGTAACGTTTTCGTGACAGTTGCTACAGATAAACAAAGGGCATATCTCAGAAAAAATCACTCCTATGTAAGTTATGATATACGATAATAGATATAATAATTTGGGCTCCTTATAATTCATAGACAATATTCTATAATGTGGAATTTTCTTTAGAATTCCCTGAGTACCTATTTATTATACTACAGAATATCGAGAAATATGCTACCCTACTAACCTTTTGAGTTAACACAATATACTCTATACAGGGTGTCCCGAAATGAGCCTGCCAAACTTTACCAGCGGCTTCAAGGGCCACAAATAGGAAAAAAATTCCATTGAACATGAGTCCAAAAATGTCTCCCTAGGCAGCTACAGCTCCTATTTTACGAGCCTCTAAGAAATTGTTTGGTGGAAATAATTGTTCTATAATTGCATACAAAAATGTTTGAGCAATATTTCTTATATTCCCACCCTGTATTATACACTCCTGAACAAAATTTTGGAATTATCCTTTTTGCACTACATAGGGCATAGGAAGTTCACTTCTTGTACAGAATTGCGTCATTTTATCACATGGTGTTCACATGGGTATCACATATAAAAAAAAATTAATCTTTCCTTAGGAGTCATTTTTCGACTCATATACATCTTTACTCCCTATTTTTGGTCATAGAATTCGCTGGTGAAGTTTGGCACGCTAATTTTGGGACACCCTGTATAATAGTGCATATCACGCAATGCCTATATTCAAGTAGTTAATATTTACTCAAAAAATTAAACATGAAATAGTCTCTTGCATTCTGATAGTATAGTAGGTCATTTGTATATCAGGATATCAACTTTGATTCATTTTTAGTTGAGAGATTTCAATATTCTGGACTCAGAAAGTTCTTCATTTTCCTCCCAACTGATGTTGGCGACTGGTGGGAAAGGTGCAGAAGTCATTCTTAACTGTGTATCAGGATCTCTGTTGCAAAACTCTTTGTCCTGTATAGCTGATTATGGCCGATTCATCCAATATGGCAGATATGACACTGAAGAAGGTAACACCTCTTGCATTACCCACTACTGATTCTGATAGTGTTAACTGGAGTATTCTTTGTCAAGAAATCAGTATACCTTTGAGGAACAAAAGTTATTTATCTTCGTATTGATCAATATTCATTTCATAAGCATACGCTATTCTAATAGATTTATTTGATTCTATACATCTCACTTAATATTTCTTCAAAGGCAGGGCTTACCCCATTCGTTTCCACACCTAATCGGATCTGATTTAAGTTTTCAATAAGCATTTTTAATCAGGAGGCCACCACTGAAGCAGTTATTATCTAAGTAGTTACTTTTCTTCAGTCGCTCATTCTTGAATTCAATGAAGTACTTACGCATTGTTGAAGAATCCATTTAATGAAATCAAGGTATTCGTCATATTCATCATTTAAAAATATATTCATCTGCATCTCCCAAAATGTGAATGAAATATTTTTGAATGAAATTTTGTTGGTAGGAAACATCCTATTATACAATACAATAATTATTTCTTTGAGCTTAAAACCTGAAAAATAAATGACTTGATATAAATAACTCCACTGACATGTTAATCAATCATAATAATAATATCGAAAAGAAATATAATGATAATATTAATAATAACTGTATGATAATAATAAGTACATAATGATATGTGAATAAAGCAACAATATTAAGAATCAGTCAATAAATTCTTGGAATCATTCACTGAATTCGATTCTATGAAAGAGGTTGATTGGGTCCCTTATAGAAAAGTCATTTCATATAGAAGAGGACATATTTTGTCTAGCTAAATACAGATTATTATTTCCTCTTGTATAATGATTATGAATAACACATTGTACGTGATTAATTCATCGAAATAAGCGGGTAGTCGTTTACTCAATATTTCAAAAATGATGATGATGATGATTCATTTGTTTCAAATAAATACGAAATTGCACAATAGTCGAAGTTTGGTTGTATTATAGAGTTGTATACTGTTACTCTTGAATATGTTGACGATTGCTAGGAAATTCTTGGAAAGAAGTACAAGTTTTTTTTATTTTTTTGCACATATATAGTCAAAGAGAGCTCCAAATGATAAGTTATTATCGAACATGAAATCCAGATATTTGAACTACTTGATAACAAATTCAATTCGTCATTTGAGGCAAAAGCATTCAAACAAACCGCATTAGGTAGAAGAAATAACTGTTCATTCATTTCCATATCCTTGTCAAATAGACCCTTTTCAGCGGTTGGCATTTCTTCATCACATGAAGCAATTATTGTTTCGCATCATGTTAGGAACCAATGATTATTTACATTTCATTCTAACTTATCGAAGGGTAGTTAAATATAGGATGATTCATCACGATTGTGGTATGAAGCTGTGAGTAAATAGTAGCAAATGCCCATAGACAAGGTCCTTGAGAGCTTCTTTGGGTACCTAATACCTCTATTTATCCAATCCGTCTTTGGCAAATGTTGCTGATGTTTTTGTTACTGTGATTCTAAATGAATTGAATAATTAAATTATTAGTATAACTACTATTATTATTATATTTTTGTCGATACTTACCTATACAGTTTTTTATTATTTTTCAAGGTACCAACATTGGAATGTACTGTTTCTTGAGGAACGCATCTTTCTATGTAGTTAACTTAGAGAATGTGTTCATGCAACCTAAAGATGTCAAAGAAGAAATAAGGAGTATGATAGTCAAAGGGATAGAAAACTTTATTGTAAGACCTTTGCACAGGGAAGTTGTCAGTCACTACAATGTGGCTAATATTCTGAAGTGAGTATTCGCAGATGTTCTGCACAGGAAAATAAGATTTTTTATTTCTTGATCTGCGAGCATATCACTCAAAGTCAGTTGAACAGATCATCAAACGAATGTCGGACCGCGCTGCCGCACTCTTCGAACTTTCAAAGGGACCGACGGCTTGCGGTGATGTGTGTTTTCAACTGACTTTGCATAAACTATATCACTACTATCATCATCAGTTTTTCGTGAGTCATACCTTAGAAGAATGTAGGGAGAGAACCGAGTTGTGACACAAACTTTCATGCAAAGTAGGTATAGCATATGTCTCGATCTGAAGTCTATGAAGGGATCAATCTTATATGCAAGCTGGATAAGTACCTAAGAATTCTTCCTTTTGATAGACTGCCTGTGAAATTTGAGAGGAATCCGACGTAATTTGTGATAATTCATCGTACGTACTGCCATCTTTAGATATATTCATACTCTATTGAAAGTAATTGACTACCTACCTACTCTGACATGCACTGATCGTGTTCATTCTTTTTGAAAATAGAGAGTTTACACCGAAGGGATATTAATTGCGACATGATGAAGTGTACGAAGCAGTGCTTCGAAATTTTGCAAGGTGTATTTTTGTCGGACATTTTTCTGTCAGGCGGAAATGTATCCATGGATGCATCATTTCAACTCATTTTGGTAGGAACATAACCCACATACTGAGAAAATCTCGAAACCTCACTTTTTGGATTTTATATATCTCCCTGATTTTATATTATGTGAACAAATAGGTAGGTCCCTATTTGGGTAAATCGAAGTTGTAATAGATTTTTGTTTTTTTAATTGCAGTACAATCAAGGACAGTTCAAATATCGGAAAAATAGCCATCATAGTGAATAACAATTTCAGCGTTAACAAGCTCAATGTTAACAAACCGAACAAGTTCATTTGCAGTTCCAAATCATCTTACTTTATTTATGGTAAGCGCAAAATCAATATGATGTATATTATAAAGGTCCAGCATCATTGTAGCTTTTGGCTTACTCTTTTATGATAATAATTTCAATGATGAATAACTCATCATTTCCGTCCAGTGATAAGTATATTTTGTATCTAAATATAATAATGCAATAATTGATCTCAAATGAAAATAACTTGACGTTGTTAGGTACTTAACGGGCAGTAATAACATCCCACCTCACTGTTTTCAGTAGGTTCAGTATTACTGCCGCAGATTCAATTGTTATATATCATCTTCAATTGTTCAAATTCCAAGTCAGTTTTCCAATCCCTCATATACACACATAATAAACAATATTATATATATCCAAAACTAAATTTTCTCCTGCGTAAACGTGAATCAAAAGGGTACCTCTTTTCCTTCTACAAGAAGTTGAGTTTTAGAAACTGTTTTCATGACCAATTGTGGTTATACAGGGTGTTCCCAAATTTGAAGTGATCCTTGTAATGGGGTATTGTACGAGTCGTAATAACACAATAAATTGCGAAGAAATATTTTCAAGCAGTCGAGAATTGTATGATTCTACATATTATGGATTGAGATGCACTGGTTTGATGCAGCAACGCTGCAGAGCCGACTGCGTTTGCATTTGCCTTGGCATTCGCACCTTCGCACTGTAGTCAAATTATTACGAAAAAGAGACACTGAATAGAGTCATTGCATTTTATAACAAGAACGTTAATGTGTTTTCGATAATAAACAGATTTACAATGAATGTCCAAAATGAGCGCCACTAATTTCTTCGCAGATCTTCGCACGACGTAGTAAAGACTCGCAAGCACGCTGAAATCTACCTAGCTATCGCATCTCTCTTGGTGTTACAGAGATATTTATTCCATGAAAAACTCGAGAAGACGACGATTATGAGCAAATTTTGCTCTGCGCACTCTTGTCCATGTACGCACTCTCACACAACTCACCCTATTCGTGAGAATCGATGTCACCAGGTGGCGCTGGATTGTAATAATTTCTATACATCGTTCTATGTCAAATCTGAGGGGCAACAAACCCAATCTCGTAAACTTGTTTAATAATATATTTCAAATTGTATTGATAATTATTGTTGATATTCAATTGAGAACGTTTTAAATGTTTTTTGTAATTGGCTTGCCAATTATCATAAAAACGTTTCACTGTGTGGGTAGCTTGTCCGTCGAGGTACCAGGAGAATTGTGGTCGTCAGCGAGTTCAAGCCACAGCAAACGCAAATCAACTGTCTCCACAATTCTATATTTCTTACTGAATGATTGATATAGGGACTCATGGATGACTCTACAAATGTTACAGATAATAAGCAAATTCAGCTCTACGCACTCTTATCCATGTGCGCACTCTCATATACCCATACTCTTACAAAACGGACTACTCTCATAAATTGGGGATATTCCCGTCCAACTAGAAAATTGCAAGAGTACATCAACCAGTTCCTAAAAAAGACAAAAAGACCCTACAGACCGATCGCACTTATCAACATCGAGCTCATGAAATACCTGAAACATTCAGATATTATCAACGATTGGCAATATAGCTTCCGTCATCAGAGATCAACTGGTGACCTGCTCGCCTACGTCTCACATATATGGCAGCAATCTATTGAAAAATACGATGGAACCTCAGCCGTGGCATTTGATATCTCCAAGGCATTCTATCGAGTCCGGTACCACGGACTCCTCGCCAAGCTTCCATCTTATGGCTTGCATCCTCAGCTATGTTCTCTGCTAGCTAGTTTTCTCTCAAACAGATCTGTCCATGTATTGGTCGACGATTTTTCTTCTGACTCTCTTATCATAAATGCTGGTGTTCCGCAAGGATCAATTCTAGCACCAACGCTATTTCTACTCCATATCAACGATTTGTTGGAAGCAACTTCATGTCCAGTACACAGCTTCGTGGATGATAGTACCCTCCATACCGCCTTCTCTCCCAGGGCTCCAATACCAGCCAAGCAAATCAGAAACGAACGAGGGAGATATGTTGTCAACATAAATATGGACTTGGCAACAATTCTCGAATGAAGATCCAATAACTTGGTAGATTTCAATGCAAACAAAACACAAGCATGCCTTTTCTCAAAAAAAGCCGATCTCACTGTGCCCAACATAAGCTTGTCAGGAGTAACCATACCTTTGACATCCATTTCGATGCTTGGTATTACTATCAGCAATAACCTCTCTAGGAAAAATCACATGAGATCAATTGCTGAAGGTGCATCCCAAAAACTTGGTTTTCTGTTTCGTGCCAGGAGCTATTTCACTTCCAGTCAGCTGCTTATGATCTATGAGGCACAGATCTGACCTGTCTTGGAGTGCAGCACCCAAACATACCCTGAAACTGTTGGATTCGGTCCAAAAAAGGGCAATTCCTTCTTCTGTGAAGAACCGTAGAAAAGTTTGCGATCTGGCTCTATTTCATAGATATTTTCATGGACGATGCTCTTCTGAAACATCAACAATTGTTCCTCCCTTGGCAGTCCTCGCGAGATTGACCTGTCGAGTTGAGGCTTCGCACCCCTTCGTGGTCATTTCGGAGACCTGCAGAACATCTCTTTCCAAAGACTGGTTCATTCAACAAACAGCGAGGCTCTGGAACACATTGCCAAGGGTGGTCTTCCCCGAGGCATATAACCTCCAGAAATTCAAGAAGAACACCAATTCCTACCTTATTCCCTTTGGTTCTCCCGATGTTCTCTGAACATTACAGGATATCCCAGAACATAAAACATCATCTGTCCCTCTATTCCGTAGGTGGATCGTCCGAGAACTGGGCAGACCTAGCCGAATGGCTCGTCCGTCGAGGCGCCAGGAAAATCGTGGTGGTCAGCGAGTCCAAGCCCCAGCAGACCCACATCAACCGGCGGCTGTCGCTCCTGCAGACCTTCTACGGCGCCAGCATCATCACAGCTCCGAGCAGGGCGCACACCAGGGAAGGGGCGGCCGAGGTGCTCTCCGAGGTGTACACCTTGGGCCCCCTGCACGCCGTATTCACGCTGCCTAGTAAGGGTACGGGCACGCGTGCCAGCGACACCAAACCGGTGCAGTATCTGGATGGTGCGCTGCGCACCATGGCGCCCAAGGCGGTGCTCGTGAACTTCATCAGCTCGGCTGCCGGCATTTGTTATAACAGGTGATGGCTTGTTTCAGATATATTAAAATTAGTATTAGTTAAATAACCTAAAAATAAACACGCTCTCATGACTAGCCAAACAAAAATAAAGTGGAAAATGGAATGATAAAAAAACATGCCTATATTTCTTTTGTTATAAGAAATTGAAGCTAACTTATGCATTATGTGGCAAGAAGTTAACCTAGTGAACATATTTATATGAAAAAAAATAAAAAATTTGCACGGTCATTATTTTTAAAGGACGTCCCGAGGGGTAAATCACGTGGGAAGTTTAGTGTACAGACACAAGGAAGTTCGAGGAAGTTTGGGGAAGTTCGAGGAAGTTTGGGGAAGTTCGAGGAAGTTCGAGGAAGTTTGGGAAGTTCGAGGAAGTTTGGGGAAGTTCGAGGAAGTTTGGGAAGTTCGAGGAAGTTTGGGGAAGTTCGAGGAAGTTTGGGAAGTGCGAGGAAGTTTTGGGAAGTCCGAGGAAGTTTGGGGAAGTTCGAGGAAGTTTGGGGAAGTTCGAGGAAGTTTGGGAAGTTCGAGGAAGTTTGGGGAAGTTCGAGGAAGTTTGGGAAGTGCGAGGAAATTTTGGGAAGTTCGAGGAAGTTTGGGGAAGTTCGAGGAAGTTTGGGGAAGTTCGAGGAAGTTTGGGAAGTTCGAGGAAGTTTGGGTAATTTGGGGAAGTTTGGGAAGTTCGGCGGAGTCTGAAACATTTCGTGATGTTCAGGTAGTTTTGGAGGTTCGAGGATGTTTGGGAAGTTTCCGAAAGACCAAGCAAGCTGTAGGATGTCTGTGAACGTTTGGGCGGAGCCGGTCGGGAAAAACCTTCGGCTAGATAATCCAAGAGATTTAATATCTCAGGATATACATAGCTGTGGTGTGCTGACAAAAGCCTAGGGGAGATTCCTCTCAACAAATTATGAAATCGCGTTAATATGAAAATGGGTCCGAAAATGCTTCGTTTCCGAGATACAGGGTGTCCAAGTTGAAAGAATTATGGATTTTTCATTATTGCTAGAGGCTTTTGTCAAGGCTTTTGTCGACACAACTCTGAAACACCCTGTATAGAAATAATATTTCACATAATCTCAAAGAGTTCATTATTATTTCGGAACTTTCCACAGATGCTGTTAGATAAGTCCTCGGATAAGTCAATAGTACCTACCTACCTAAAAATTCGTGGTACAGAAAACCTGCATTGCATATTATGTCGTAATTAGTTTGATAGTTGATTTCTGTCGGTGGATTAATCAAAATTGTGATGAAGTGGAATTCCATTTTGTATAGAAATACAGAGCAGATATTCATGACATTCAGTTTCGAATTCCTTCCAGTAAAGTACTTTCAAGTTTAGGTACCCACCTATTCATATACGTAGGTAATACCTACCTATACAATGTGATCTGGTTTGTAATACAAAATATTCAACATTGTGTTGTACTCGGTTGAAATTATAAGAAAAATCATATAAACATTTTTTTTTATCGATTGGAGCGCACGAGAGGGAATCCCTATGATGTTCAAAGAACATCGTGCGTTCCTAGGAAGGATAGGGACAGGAGGTAGGTATTTGAATTTTTTTAGAATTTTTGGAGATTATATGTTGTTGGGAATACTTCCACAGGCAATGAATTCAAGAGCCTAGCCGTTCTATGGATGAAGGAGTCTTGATAAAGTGCTGTTCGACATCTTTCGAGGTTGACGACGAAAGGATGTGCTGACAGGGCTTGTCTAGTTCGTCTGATTGGTATTGCTAGTGAAGGGATGATTGCAGAGATTTCCGAAGAACATTTCCCGTGGAAGTATCGATATACTTTCAAACGCTTCGTTTTCGAAATATAGGGTGTTTAAAATACGAGTCTGAATATTGTTTTTTGATGAAAAGTTCGAAATGGTTTGAGATAAATCCACAAAATTACCCAAGATACTAAATTTTTTAAGCTCTATAAGAAAAAATGAAGATTATGTATAATGAATGCGATAAAAGTATTTCATTATTTCAACGAGAACACCACACTGTTGAATTTTTGTATAACAAACCGGACCACCCTATATATCTACCCACCATACCAAAAAGAACAAATTTTGAATCGATCAATACTAAATTGCTTACATGAGTACCTACTTGGTTTGTGACGTTTGATGAAACGTTTCGGGAAGTTTAGGAAGTTCGAGGTAGTTTGGGAAGGTCGAGGAAGTTTGGGAAGTTCGGGAAGTTCAGGGAAGTTTGAGGAAGTTCGATGAAGTTTGGGAAGTTCGAGGAAGTTTGGGAAGTTTGAGGAAGTTCGGGGAAGTCTGAGGAAGTTCGCGGAAGTTTGAGGAAGTTCGAGGAAGTTTGAGGAAGTTCGAGGAAGTTTGAGGAAGTTTGAGGAAGTTTGAGGAAGTTCGAGGAAGTTCGAGGAAGTTTGGGAAGTTTTGACCCACGGGAAGTTTGATGTACAATTTTTTTCGCCGTGATTTACCCCTCGGGACGTCCTATATGACCTGGGTTTTGAGGTAATATCAGATGCTTTGACTTTTAAGCTGAAATAGTACATTATATATCAAGGGACAGGAAAGGTTTTTTCCAAGGTGCGATTTATTGCTCGAGGGCGGAGCCCGAGCGGAAAATAGCATTCTGTCCTGAGGGGTATATACTATTTTTTACGCTGGCGAAAACACAGAGAATGCAAATGAGGTCAAAGTGTTTTGTCATAATTAGTAGTAGTATAGTTTGTGAAATTCGTATATTGACAACATGCATCTTGTTGACAACCCATGGTGACAGCAAATATCAAACTGAATGTTATATGATAACAGCTTTGAAAATGGTTAACGGTCATGGAACAAGAAATCGAGGAAAAACCCTTAGAAACTATTGATACTGCTTCTGCAGTGATTCTTAACTTGCTACCAGTGCCGCACTACTGCAGGAAAATGACACTAAACTAAATTGCGTGCGGGTATAGGGTGAATCACGTACGCTTGTAGAAAAAGTATTCATGATCTGCTCTCGGTTTTTACATACAGATGGAAAATAATTCTTGATAGTGGAGTCTTTGTTTTTGTGTTGGCAGATGAGAATTTAGAGAAATAAATATTCCACCTCTCTGATTAACCAACAGATAGTGGGTTGAATTTCTTTGCTTTCCTTGCAATATCGAAGTTGGGTGCAAGGAATTTAGACTGAAGTCCACTTTATTTGGTTCATCATGTGAAAATGTAAATAGTCCCATGTGAAAATAATTACTAAAGATGAAAATGCAGTGATCTAAATAGTATTGTCAATTGAAAGAAAACTTGAAAATGTGAATACCTTCATTATTGTATCACGTAATAATGATTTTCGTTCAAGATAACGTAGTGAGTGCCATCTAGGACAAATCTATAGTACTTTGAATACAATGAGAGGAAAGTTTTTGATGAACGAGTTTTCATGCACAAATTTAATAGAATAGACGGAAAAACCTGACGAAACCGGAATTTACTCATTTAGTCAGACGAAAGGATGTATGACTAGGGGTGTCATAGACCGATAGGGACTCGAATAATGAGCCATTATGACATGATTTAGCTCATCTTTGTACGTTCTCCCTGGGTACGATGATGCCTCTATTGTGAAAAACACTCGACTAGATCATTTAACCCAAAACGATTATTTTGCATGTAAAGGATGTCATCTGTTATGTTATAACAGGGCCGATGCTGGGTTCCTAACGTACAACGTCCAGTGGCAGAAGACATCCGACATTGCTGATGGTGTGTCCGCGCTGGACAGTGTGCTGAGCTCCAAGGTCAGCAATGTGTTTGTGAAGAAGAGCAGGGATGGAGAACAGAAGACTGATGGTGGTCAAGGGGGTATCAAAGGTGAGCAAGAATAGTTATCCATACACCAAAGTAGTAAAGAATATCATTATTACCCAGGGACCGAGATTATATCCTGAGGCTTCAGCCAAGGGGTATAAGGTCCCGTGGTAATGACATTCTTCACTTCCAAAGTGTTTATTGAATTTCGTTCACCACTAGCAATACATTTCAATCATTTTAGTTCTGTATGGTTCTGTGAAACTGAACTTATTTTCACTAAGAGAGCACTTCTTTTTAATTCTCATTAAAATCTAGTAGTCACGACCATGACAGCATAATATGACAAGTCGTTAATGATATATATACCTACTAGATTCGAGTGCTATTCCTGCGAATATCGCCATCAGAGAACAGTGAATTCAGGTTAATAACAACAGAGGTGACTATGCCATAATTGACTAGTGGTTCATAAAATTACGAAAACTACCTTGGTAGTGAAATTACACTTCACGCCTTGAAAACGAGTAAATAATGATAGGTTTTATAGAAAGTGGTGGAAAAAACAGTTTATACAGTTACGGGTGACAAGTTAATTTTGTCATATTCGGGTTATTCATTTGTTATCATAATAGAAAGGGAGAGCTTTAAGAGTACTAAGAAATCGACGATCTATTAAAATATATGAATAATAATTGTCGCCACTTATAGTGAAACACACTATATATAGCATGAGTATTGGAACTATATCAAATTTCCACTCAGCCAGTTTGTTCGTTTCGAGAACTTATATCCTCTCTTTCGAATACTCCTAATCGATTGAATTATTCTTTCAGTCTACCTCTAAAAGTGACATTTGCAAACACATGCATCAGAGATTCCATCTGATTTGTTCTTACCACACATATATTTGAGAGGTAATATTGGTATTTTGATTCATAGAACTGAGGCGAGAAAATCTCAAGAAATCTAGAGAAATTATTATTTCATCGCTTCGATCGATGCACCATACAGTATTAATGTTCATAATCTCTTCTGCTTCGATCCAATAAGGACGTTCTATTTAGTCAAGCGACCTTGTATAATTCCGAATTTACGTGGATATACATAGAGTTACTCCACCAATCAGAAATGTGGAATTATTTATATAGTAACAATTCATATTCTTACATAGAAACAAAGCGCGTAGTAAAATATTGACGTTCGTTCATAACTAGGTACTCAATAATAATCGCATCGAATACAATTCAAACTTCAAATTATTCATGCATGGTTAAACATCTCAAACTTCCTGCATAATTAAAAATCGTGTCGAATTAACAGAATAATCCTCCTGCTTCGCTGTCGGATTATTTCAACTGTCAAACTGAGACACTTTTTGTAATTATGAAACAAGTTATCGATGTATAACCCGAAAATTTCGAGTATTACAACTGAAAATATATAATCCACGCACTACTAGCCTTCCTCATCGAACAAAAAACTGCTAAGACTGTGATGCTGCATACACCACATTTTTTTATCTCTTGTAGTGTACGAAAGGAAATCCTTATAATGTTCGAAGAACATCGAGCGTTCTCAGGGAGAATAGGAAAAAAGGTGGGTATTGGGATTTTTCTGAACTTTTGGAGAGTTCTTCCGTATACTTCCTTTGACAAAGAATTCCAGAGCTTTGCTGTTCTGAAGATAAACGAGTTTTGATCGAGTGTTGGTATTGTCGAGTTCGTCTGACTGATACCTATTGCTAGTGATGGAATGATAGCAGAGATTTCAGAAAAATATTTCCCTTGGAAGTATCTATTGAAGAGTGAAAGGTCGCCGACTTTTCTACGGTATTCAATGATGTCGAAGAATTAGTGAGTGTAGCATCATCCACCAGGCGAATGTCTCTTCTCTGGATGAAACCTAAGATCATTAGCGTATGTTTGGGTGCTGAACCCCATATATGGAGACAGTATTCTAGAACAGGTCGTATGTGAACTAGAATATCAAACTCACACGAACGCCTCAAGGTGAGCACCGTTGCTCCAAATGTCATCATATCCTCTTAACAGCATCACAAATTACGATAAGTACCTACCCATATTACTATCGGAACATACAGGTGTATTCCATCGTAGAAGGTATGAGCTAGAGTAATGTTTAAGTTATTCAGATATAATATGTCACCCAAGGCCCAAACTACGTTGTAACGCCATAAATATCATCATAATTAGTGAGGTTATAGCCGTAATAATATCACGTTATGAACAATAACCCTAATTGTAAACTGATACCATAGCTTAATTACTCTGAATATCACCCTCTAGAATAGAATGCAGACGAATTCACCTCCAGCTTACATGTATCTGTTTTGAATGTACCTACTCGTGTTCTTTCCACCGCATAAATTATCATTATTGAAAAGAAACTGTACCTTTTGCTTTTTCACTATTCTGAGTTAACGCAAAATGTTAATCTGATGGTCGTAAGACCTCTTATGTTCACCATGTTTAGTCTAGGATAGTAAGGAACTCACTAAATACTTTGAGGGGGCCGCTGGAGAGAAACAGAAGAAGATGAGTCAAGTAGTTATTAACGGAAAGATTAAGGTGGTGGTTCTCTAGTGAATAACAATTTTCCCTATCATTTCGAAGACCCTCATCCGAGAGCAACAACCAAAATAATCATGGACGTGACAAAGCTACCTACGTTTCATCTCAGCCTGGTAGACACAAAGAAGAGGTCCGTGTTTCTGTTCCTCTCATTTCGGCCTACAGTGACCACGAACAAGTGGAGTCACCCTTTCAATACTTTCAACTCTCCTCGAACTTTTGATTATAGGTGTCTGGAATGGTAGTGCTGTCAATAGATGATTTGTAGATTGCAGAGTGCAGTATGGTATCATGCAAAGCAGAGGATAATACGGACTGATAATGTTACAACAGCCATTTTTAATGGCAGAAGGAAAAGAAAGGTTATAACGGTCGTAGGCGAGGATGTCGACCTTCTAGCTCCCTTTGTTGGTGACAGGCTCCGTTCAACGTATATTTCTCCAAAAATGAAATAGGAAAGGTACCCAACTAAAAATAGTTGTACCATCCAAGCGACACCCTCAATCAAGTCTGCCTCAGTGCCTAGGAATAACAATAACCCTAGATATAATATATGCTCAACAATCTCATTTTCATAAAAGACCACCTCAGAGTTTGACCCTGATGCAGATTTGAAGGATCTCATGCAGGTAAGAGAAATGTTTTAGTCAGCCTTCTACTCATCTCGATGAGGTTCAACCAAAGTCATTGTCTGATATGAGATTGAGATGTTCAAGACATCTGCCTACAAGTCGGCATCAAATATTGCCATTTTTTTCTCCAACAAGGGCTGCAGCTTGCCAGCATTCATTGCGAGTATGTATATCTGCACGTGCAACTATGGCTGGGCGAGGACACCTTCACGAACACACCTGAGAAATTGCACGAAGATGTGTGCAAATTTTGAAGAATGATATATAGAGATATAGGGGGTATCACATTCGTACCACACATCACGTCCGTGACTCGAAATGAGAGTCCCATTGGAATCACAACGTCTACTATTCCGGACCCTTTGGTTATTTTATGATTCACATCATGATGCCAAATGAAACTCACAGTACGTATCAATCAACTCCTCATTCAACATCCAAATTGATTGATTCCATATTATTTGTATGAAATGTATCAATGAAGAAAAGAATGTAATGCAATAACTGAAATAAATAAATAAATAAATAAATTCTGTTTTCTACATAAATAGACAAGAATGTAAGGTTCCAGTGAGTCTCTTGGTTGTTAGGAAGCCTTACAAATTCACCTACATTTTGAGTCTCAAATCCAATAAAATGAGACGAATATTGCGAATGTTTTGTAAAATGAAGAGTCCCCTGGCAAATCCAATGATATTTTTTTGTAATTCGCATTGTTATCTAACGAGACATGGATGTGATATCTCAGGGATATTTGTGTTTAAGGGGCCATCACATCACTCAGGGGTTTCACCTACTCTTAACCAAATAGTTATACTCGAATCCACCCCCTAGGTTAGTTACCTCTAGTGATGTTTATGCATTTCTCTTCCAGACCATCAGCAGAAATCTAATAATAATAAAAATAATAATAATACGTCTTTATTCACCAATAAAGCACATACAAGCAAGAATCCAAGTGGAGATGTGATATTTCAATGCCGTGGGTGGAATGTCAGCCTAATCTGTTTTAAACTCAAACTTTGTATACAAAAGGATAACACAAAACATTGAGGGGAATGCAAGAATACTTGGTAATAGTAGTTAGTCGAGACGTCAGAAATAAGGACAAGCGGTAATCCTTTTTGAGTGGCCAAGGTTCGGTATCAAGTAATGGTGGCGTATAACTGAATTAGGGGTACAGCTTCAATCTCTTCTTGAAATTATTGATCGTTAATTCAGTTGGAATTGAGTTACCATTAATTAATCTTTTGAAGGAGTAAAGTGTGCTTTCACTACCAAGGTATCTAGTAGTCATATGCTTTCAGATTTTAATTAGATTTGAAAATAAGTGCTTTCATAGTGACATAGGTCCACATTTCAGTTTCAAAGAACTCTGATGATTGAAATATTGCTAGTGGTGAAAAAAATTCAATATACACCTTGCCATTGAAGAATATTATTACCACGGGACCTCATATAATCTCGGTCCCTGGGTAATAACGATATTCTTCACTACCTTGGGGAATGCGTCCATCATTTTCTTACTAAACAGGGTGTCTGGTTAACCATGAGTCATACTTTAGCTGATGATAAATAAACAAACGAAGTTCCTTAACATAGATCATGTATTAAGATCCAAATCGATGGATTTTTTTTGGGTACTGTAAATGACTGCTGCTTTCTGCGATTGATACAACTACTATTCACTATTCTGTAATAAATATTTATCCACAATAAGAATTATCACGAAATGCTCCTTATTTTCTCAGAACATGAAAGAATAATCTGAAATAGAAATTCAAATTCCGATATTTCGAAAATCGTGTGCATGGTTTTTACCAAGATCAGGTTGTGGTTTTCTTGTGTGGTATGTTGTGTGGATGCCGCTGCTGCTATGCTATAGTACTGCTCTGAGGGAACATTTATCATTGTTATCATTTCATGTATTATTATTATTATTATCAATATACTTTATTTCAAAAAAAGGTTTACATTATATATAAAACATATAACAAAGAATGAAACAGTGTCACAGAACATAGAAAATAAATAAATTAATTTGAATTTAGATATTTACATTTAAATATTCATCTATAGAATACGGTTCTAGTTCAGTAAGCCAGTTCTTCAGATGAATCGTGAATTTTTTCACACTATCAATCACTTTCATTTCATTTGGTAATCTATTGAACAATCTAATTGCTGAATAATTCGGATGCTTTCCTGTTTATTTTTTTTATACAGATGTATGACACATTCATAAATATATGGAGCAAATATGATCATTATCTTATTTGATCTGAAGGTACTTCTGCACGTTTCAGCATATTTTATATTGTATAATGATCTTATAACCCTCTTCTGGATCTGGAATATTTCCTTAGTTTGACTGCTCGATCCCCAAAATATTATGCCAAATTTTGCAGTGGATTCAAAGTTTGCATGATAGATCATTTTTAGGGACTTTTCATTCATTCTTCAAGTTTTCATTTATGAAATCACCCAAGAATTTTGTGTTACTTTATAAAGTGATGTTTGTTTCAAGAAGTCTTATACTAGTTGGAGTTGTATTCTTTGCTGTGAGGTTCGAAAAAGGATAACATGAGTTTTTTCTTCGTTAAGTAAGAGATTATTTTTTGAGAACGAATCATTAGCTCTCATAATGAGACTTTTAGAATTTTCGCAGAGTTCTGGGTAGTTTGAACTTGAAGTTAGTAAATTGGTATCATCAGCATAGCTGGTTATTAGGCTGTTATCGTTGTTTAATATTGATATTATGTCATTATGTATACAAACAAATGAAATGGGAAAATCATGATGCAATGCTAGGGCCCCCGTGCCGAGGCCTCTGCATGAGTCGGGGCAATTTCCATATTTATGATGTGTACCAATAAAAAAATAACATGAAATGTTCGTGGATAATGGTCTTTAAAGCACTTGCTCTATCTCGCGTGTTTTAAAGACCTAAATATCCATTTATACTTCAATATACTATTCACATATTGATATATCATACAATTCAATAATATTGGAAAGATGCATGAAATCGAATCCACATCTACGCAGCATATCGATTTTATCATGAATTATAGAAGATAAACTAGTAAATATTCTTTAACGAGCACGGAACTATGTCATTTCCACGAGAATGGAGTTCGAGTGGGAGATTAGCAATCCGTGAGAGTCGTACACTATTCTTTTCCAACGGCTGTAACAGATAACAGCTAAAATTTTTACCAATTCGGTTTATAGCAACCTGTGCTTTTTTTTGTGAAACAATAACCTAATGAAGTCGTCATGTCATCAGATAGGGAAATGAAATTTATTCTTCTAAAACAGTGAAACGAGCGATTTTGTGTTATAGCCATGGATAAATATTTTTTCAGTATCCCCAAAATTTGATCTAAACTATCTCGATATTGATTCTAGACATGAGCAAGGTGATCCCAACAATCGAGGACATCATCAGAGAGCAAAAGAATGCACCAGAAGAACCTGAGCTAGTTCAAGTGATAACTGAAGGTCCTCTTGAAATTAGGGAGCTGGCTCCACTTTTCATTGTACCTGGTATGATGGGACAGCCAGAACTAGAAGAAATGGTGACACATCTACTGTACCCGACCTTCTTAACTGCCATGCCTGCTACACCTTGGCCTATTGAAAGATTGGCTGAAGTATTTGCACAGGTATGTATAATGGCGTAAAACAGAAGGTTCCTAATTTCGAGGTATCACTCGAAATCATTGAAAATCCTGAGTTAGCTTGATTTTGGGTTCGTATTTCGAAGTTGGCTGAATGTGTGTTAATTCGGATGGTGCTTTAGACAATTTAAAATCCTGACATCTTTTGATTCCGACTTTTTCAAAAGATGAAATATTAATTTTGATTTTCTTCCAGATGGTGTCAAGAGAAGTTTATATAATCATTATTTATTTGCTAGATGTGAATCGCTACTACTTCCTTATTGAAAGTATGCGAGTCACTGAGGTTGCAAATTTGTTTTGATTCGAGTCGTGTTGGAATTGTGACATACACTGTGTCCGTAAAGTATGGAACAAATTCGATATTCCCTAAACTAAAAGCCTTTTCAGAAATATCTGAAACACGTCAACTACATTTTCCAGGGGGAAATCGTTCTAACATATTTTCAGCCCTGCGGCGTTGCCGCTTTTAACAAAAAGAAGCAACAACTTTGTTATTTCAAATGGAATACCTCGTATTTTATTGCATTTTTAGATTCTTCACGAAGGGCTGATTTCATCAATCACATTAGGGGTCTAGCTGTAATGGCTTCAGGGATATAAACTAATATAAAGTGTTCAAAATCGAGAACATTTTTTTGTGACGAAACTATTCATTATTGGTCAAAACGGCTTTCATGTCCCTATCTCAACTTGTGATTTACTATCTACCAACATTTATTTGAAATAAATACAGGGTGGTTCAAGATTCAGAATTCGGATCACCCTGTATCTGTTCCAATTAAATGTTAGTAGATAGTAAATCACAAGTTGAGATAGGGACATGAAAAACGTTTTGACCAATAATGAATAGTTTCGACACAAAAAAATGCAAAATTTGAAAAATCTCGATTTTGAACACTTTATATTCCTGAAACCATTACAGCTAGACCCCAAGTGTGATGCATTGATGAAATCAGCTCTTCGGGAAGAATCTGAAAATGCAATAAATACAAGATGTTCCGTTTGAAATAAAAAAGTTGTTGCTTCTTCTCGTTAGAAGCGGCAACGCCGCAGGGCTGAAGATATTTTAGAACAATGTCCCCCTCGAAAATGTAGTTGACGTGTTTCAGATATTTTTGAAAAGGCTTTCAGTTTAGGAAATATCGAATTTGTTCCATACTTTACGGACACAGTGTATATTGAAGTAGACCATCTCGGAAGATGAAATTGTTCCGCTCTTTTAATCCTAATATGTCGAGTTATAAATCGAAATTAAGATCATTTTGAGTTATAACTAGAAAATGGTAAAAAAAATCTGATCCACGCCCTCGCAGGTATGAAACTCATCCTGATCATCTTCATAGCGACAATTCACGAAAATTTTGGATATCACGAAGATTGAAGCTATCATCAGTTCTCGAATGAAGTTTACTCGTTATAATCAATAATTTGAAGGTAGGTATGTTAATATTCCATCTATACAGGGTGTCTATGGAAGGTCTTTACAAAAACATACGCACATATTCCTCAGACCAAAATAAGTCGATTTAAGTAAAATTACCTCAGTACAAAGTTGCATAGTTTGGGCTCCAGAGGGCCTTGAAGTTACAATTTTTAAATCGTTGTTTCCATATAAATTCGAAACGGCATATGCGATACTGCTGAAATTTGGTATATTGATAGGGTTTCATGTGTCAAAAAAATGGTGTTAAATTTTGTCCGATATTGATCCATAGGCGTAGAACTTGATTTCTTTTTAATAATTGCACCTTCAACAATTCTACGCCAATGGAATAAAAGGAGTTTGAGTATGAAATTTAAATTGCGCAACTCATTTACTCTAAGAAATGTACTCTTGATAAGACTCGATTACTCTCATGGTTTTCGCTAAATTTCTGTTTTAATAATTTAGAGTGTATAGGTTTCACAAAAATATTCATTTACAACATAATCAAAATGAATAGAGATTTTACGAAAATTTTTCAAAATATTCAACATTTTCACGCATACAAAGACTTATACGTCGAAGAAAATTAATAATAATACATAGGCGTAGAACTTGATTTTTTAAATAATTGCACCTTTAAAAATTCTACGCCAATGGCAGAAGAGGGGTTTGAGTATGAAATTTGGATTGGATACTCATTTACTACAAGAAAGTACCCTTGATAACACTCGATTTACTCTCATGGTTTTGACGACAAAGTTTGTATTTTAATAATTATTGTTTATGTTCTAAAATTACTAAAATGCAAATTTCGTCAAAACCATGAGAGCAATCGAGTCTTTTCGAGAGTACCTTTTTTGAAGTCAATGAGTTGCGCAATCTAAATTTCATACTCAAACTCCTTTTCTTCCATTGGCGTAGAATTTTTGAAGGTGCAATTATTTAAAAAATCAAGTTCTACGCCTATGTATTATTATCGGACAGAATTTCAACACCATTTTTTTTGCCACATAAAACTCTATCAATATACCAAATTTCAGCAATATCGCATATGCCGTTTTAAATTTATATGGGAGAAACGATTTAAAAATTGTAACTTCAAGGCCTTCTGGAGCCCAAACGATGCAACTTTGTGCTGAGGTAATTTTACCTATATAGACCTATTTTGGTCTAAGGAATATGTGGTATGTTTTTGTAAAAATCTTTTACAGACACCCTGTATATTACCTGAAGAGGGAATAAATGAACTTCTTGAAACTCATTATTTTCTTATGTCGATGTACTATTCACAATGTTCCATATTCCTGATGATAACAAGAACAAGTGTTCTTGGTTGATTGTTTTTAGAATAAGCTATAAATATCGAAAGATATAAAGAAAATGAATTGGTGAATGAATATTCGTATTTTCGAAGCAGTAGCTATTGATTTGCTGTGAGCGTATTGTTTCTTTGTCATTGGAGATATTGCAAGCGTGAAACATTAACACGTTATTGAACTACTCTTGAAATAACTGCTCTGGTGTGTGAAAATTCCTTCAAAACTTTGCAGTTCGCTGAAAGACTTGTCCTAATGTTATTTTATATTGACTTTGCCATGCAGTGATTCATTAATTCAGTTATGCAAATACCATACGAGCTACTTGGGCCTGAAACTTGCAATATGGGGAACATTTCAAGACAAATGTTATCTATACGTTATCACGTAGGTACTGATGGAGCTAACAGTTATACACTTTAATTACCTTCGCACAAACTGCAATTCTCAATTTCATATTGCAAATACCTACCTACTCCCTATTATGTTATTGCAAGTGTGAAGAAATAACCAGGTTAAGAGAGTAGTATCCCAAGTGATGAGCATTTATTGAAAATTGATAAAATGAGAATGAAAATTAGAGTGAAGAAGGGCTCATATTAGGTTAGGCATAATATAGCAATGTATCTAATTCCGATTGTTGTTTTCAGAAAATGCAAGATTTATATCCCAAAGGTGTTTTCAACATTGTAAGTGTGTCATCTGGAGGTCCATTGGCGATAGAAATAGCGAGAATATTGCACAAACAGAATGCTAGCCTTCACCTATTCTTCGTAGATAGCGCACCTAATAGGATTCAGCAAGCATTGAAAGAGCTAGGAGAGACTTCAAATGACCAATCGCTCAATTTCTTGAGAAGGGTGTTCGATATCAATGATTCAGAAGTGAGTTAACAATGGTTATGACATTTTTTCCATACCCATCAATGGAATGATTCCTTGTAATATCTTAGGAAATAAAGTTTGCATAAACATGGGTCCTAACTTGCTTTGTTTTCGAGATTCAGGGTATTATTATTTCCATAAAAAATCTTCTTTTTATTTATTTATCAATTGCCTCTTCATCAATTTCAATAAAACGTTGTGGTTTTGTTGATAGTGATATGGAGCGTCTTCTAGTGCAATTAGATTCGAAATATTATTTCCAGTGGCATCACAGTGGGTAAATTGATCGATATTCATGGTGAATGTCATTGTACACCACTGGTTTTTCTGAGTTTCATATCTTCATTGAATTGAACTATTGAAATAACAACTTTTTTATCCTCTGTGTGTTTTTTGTATCTAGCTCAGTTGTTGAGGACACAATAAAAATTCGATTAGACTCCAAATTTCAATCTAGGTGTTTTCAAAAATTCCATTGAGATTACTCAATTAGAATCATTTCGAAATTTTGGAGCTCTATCAGTCTCCATCCATACTGAATTTTGGCTCCGCATGAAAGCTTATACGGGGGGGTTGTGAAGAAAAACAATTACTACTTTCAACTCCAACATCCTGTATCTCAAAAACGGTGCAAGTTAGGAACTTCATTTGCTAGAATGTCACAAGGAGACACCACTTAAACTTTTTCGGTATTATTTAGATACACCCTGTATATCAAGCTGATGATTGCAAATTACAAAATATCCACCATTTTTGTCTTCTAATAAATCGAAAAACTTGGATTGCAAATGCCAGTAGTTAATTAGTATCCGATCAAGATAATGAACAATGATAATATCGAATATGTGAATTCACAGGTGGTTAAGAAACTTGAAGCAACGAATGACTGGGAGAGGAGGATACAAATTCCTCTTGGAGGTTATGAAGGAAGTGAACAGGACCAGAAATTGTTGACTGAGGGTTTGATAAGAATCAAAAACCAAATAGATAGTATTATGGCGTTCCAACCTAATGGCGATTTGGTGTCAGGCAAGATTCATCTGATACTAACTGATGACTCCAGTCGATACGACTCTTGTGGATTATCATCGGTGAGTTATTAGTTACGTTCCATTTATCCGATTCCGCAACCGGAATCACTCCAATGTGTCGTTTCATTTGAAACTATTCCGATTCCGGTTGCTACATATTTTCATTCCGTCTCTCTACAAAAATGATGTGGAATAACTGTTCAGAGTTGTCAAAAAATTTCCTCGACGATTTCATTACAAATCAATTTGTCTAGTGTACAGACTTCTTGGCTATCACGAGTAAGAACCAGGAAAATGTGAAACACTCCTTTATTATATTAATTCAAGTTAACCTTTCCTACGAGGTAACAATCATAGATTCCTTTCCATCAACAAACTCGATGATTCCATTTTATATTCCGGATAATTTCTCTCATGAGTTGTATGTCAATACTACCTCTTGTCATGAACAGAAATACAAATAATTCAATATTTTTTCAGTATTGCCAGCAACCGCCAAAGATCCAACTTGTGCCTGGGGATCATTTGAGTATTATTCCTGCAGAAATTACACACGAATACATCAACAGAAATCACTATCTAATCTAATCATGATGTATGTAGGAAATAAATAAAATAAATAAAACGATAGCAAATACAGTTTGTTTCCTGATTTCTCTATTTTAGCAGGTTTATATGACTGCAGATTAAAATAAACTAGACATTCAGTTGAATATGCTCATTCATAAATATATCTAACACTATTTGAACACTACGTTCTGAAAAAAAACGACGATATCTCAAAATTGTTGGGGTATAGAATAGGAATTAATGGTGATTGAACATAGGCTTAAACCAATGTTTTGCTTTATTCAATACGGTCAATGAGACCACAGATTCATTCCAACCAGTTCAGCCAAAAGTGAATATCCCAAGAGCTGGGGACAAAAGTTTTCGAGAGTATTGCAAAGAATCTACAGCTACGAATTTGCTACTTTCTAAACATGATGTCGGAGTTATGGGGCAGACTTATAGCTCAAATTTTTTGTGTAGTGATTTTATGTGTCGATAATCAAATTATGCTGTTCAGAATAGTAGATTATTTTATTAGGATCAAAAGTGACACTTTATTTGACAAGCGAATTTTGCATTTGCGAGGCGGAGCGTTTAGCGCAGCCGAGCGAAAGCAAAATTTGCAAGTCGAACAAAGTCACTTTTGATCTGAATGAAACATGCTACTTTTTCTGCTACCGAAACAATTAACTCAAATAAACATGTGAAGTAACCACCAATGCCGTGCCATATGTATGCAATGCAACAAATATTGACAAATAATTCATGTGGTGAGAATATTCTACCTGCATTCACAGCAGGTTAGGTTTTCTAGGATGTTCGAATTGTAGTTTCAATTTAAATACAACCACATATTTGTGTATGGACCAGGTGCTCTATTGGCAAATACCGCGCCAGTGCCAGCTATAGGAACAAGACGTGGAAAATGTTAGGTTAGTGAGCATTTCAACAATGATAATAGTGATTATTTATTCATCTCCATACTACACTGTGTTTGACTTGATAATCAAATGAAGCTAAACAATATCGTTGTTTGAGACAAAAAATTATTGCTTGCCGTGATTACTTATTCAAAAACAAGTTATCGATCCCGAGAATAACGAATGAAATACAGATCAAGCAAGTATTTGAATCTTGAAGGCTTTCCTGATCAAAACAAAAATACTTAACTGAGACGTTTATAATTCCAATACTAAACTATAATAAGGTGTATTTATATCTCCACCATGGGCATGAAATGCCAAATCTGCTGAAATCGGAAACAAATCAGGTATGCGTCTCAACCCAAATAATCAACCGTCACAATGTTGTTTATTCTTGATGACGTCCAGTACATCCTTTTCAGTTCCTAGAAGCTCCTAGGAACTAAAATTCAACTTTAGCTCCTAGGAACTAAATATGTTGCCTAGCAACATACCTATTTTTGTGTCAGTAATGGAAACGTCAATTTAAGAGCTAATTTTGGTATCAAAATGGACGACTTTTGTGTCGGTTGCAGAAGAAAATCGTTTTTTATATCATCAATTTCTTCATATCAAACTCGAAATGATGAATCTTGTTAGACTTTTTTTGTCACCTCGTACAGTTCTATGATTCTCTGAATCTGAGTTTTTCGAAGAGCTTTTTTCACTCTCTCTGTCATAATAATGTTGAAAGTACTCACATTAATCCAAATCCTATAATCGTATAGATTCCTAGTATGAACAGGTATGAATGAGTGCTCGAAGCGACACGCGTAGAAATTGGTTGGGATCGCCTTGTATTTTCAGGCGATAAAATCGATGATATCTATTTTGTTTTTGCGGGTGCCAGCTGACCGCTTGCTCTGAAACCGGCTAAAGCGAACGAATGAACGGACGGCGCTATCCACGACCTACGCACGTCTATCCACGCTCCACACTATTGTATTGAAAAGAGACAAGGCTAAATACGTATGTCGTGAACGAATATGGACTAAAATACGTCGTTTTCGATGTTTTTTGGAACTCAGAAAAACGATCAATTCCATGCGCAATCAATTTCATAAATGATTATAACTTAATATTTATACCAAAAGAATCAGCAAATGCCGACGCAAAGGACCGTTATGTAATTTGTTTGAGTTTGAAATCAACGACTCCTTGTGGAGAAATTCAAAATTGACAGTTGCTAATTATTCGGATGAATCAAAAATGAAAAAAAAAAATAACCAACGAGCCTTCCAAAATCTTACCTTAACTTGGTAGCTGCCCTCACTCAAGAAGTTGGGTAACTCTGGATCACACCGGCCGGTGCACTTGGTGGTTTCACTGGATTTTGGAAAAACTATAAGTTTTTTTTGCAATAGTTCAATGATCACGCACGTCCACACGGTTCATTCGTTGAGTTAATTGTTTAAAGTGAAATGAGTTGATGGTTTTACCGCGACAGGTGTCGCGCCTGAGGTTTGAATTCTAGAAGGCATTACTTCGCGAAATGAACTAGAGGGTGATCCAAGTGATTGGTTTCAAAATAAAGAGTACTTTATTATATGGAAGATGTTCTTCATCCTCATTTAGAGACGTTATATCATTATTCGTACCTAACTATTTCGAGAATCTCATGTTCATCTTATTTTTTAATATTTTCAACTAGTTTGATCAAACATGGGTCACGGTAGTCCTTTTTCGGATGGACTGAAATAGACATTTTAGTCCCGGAAGGGCAGACACATTCTAGCTGGAACTAATCATGAGTAGTCCAAATTATATAGGTCATGATAGGCGACTCGACTGGTATCGATTATTTTCAGGTATATTCAATAACACCATATTTTTATTGGGGATGTCTTAGTTTTTAAGACCTATATTCATGTCGATTTTGGTATCTCATGAAAATAATGGTGCATTGATCTCAGATTTTACACCCGTCTGTTGACTGAAAATGACTTCAAACTAAAAAAGTTGAGTAATTGATGAATTCTTGATTGTGATGACATCAAAAATTATAAAAATATATTCAAACTCAAACTGATGAATAGACACAGATCATTAATCGACAATGACACAGATTTGTTTTGATCTGTTATGTCAGGATTATAAACATAACGCATCATATACAGGGTGATCCACGGTGGATGGCCTATTAAAGAAGTACCTGGAGAACGAAAAGACAACACATTCTGAAAATTGAGATGCTTTGATAATTGAACATTCTCTATCCGTCTGAAATATATTCATCGATACAGTATTGCCACTTCTATCATAAACAACTAGCAACACCCTGTATTTTTTGTCGTTTCTAGATTCTTCTTGAAGAGCTGATTTCATCAATGTATCTTACTTGGGGTCTAGCAGGAATTATTACAGAGATATAGGGTGTTCAAAATCGAGATTTTTCAATTTCAGGAATTTTTTGTGTCGAAACTATTCATTATCGATCAAAACGGCTTACATGTCCCTGTCTTAACTCTTGATTCACTACCTACTGACATTTAATTGGAACAGATACAGGGTGATCAAAATTCTGAATCTTGGACCACCCTGTATTTTTTCCAATAAAATTCCAGTAGATAGTGATTCAAAAGTTGAGATAGGGACATGTGTGCCGTTTTGATCGATAATCAATAGTTTCGACAGAAAAAAAATCCTAAAATTAAATAATTTCGATTTTGAACACCCTATATCTCTGTAATCATTCCTGCTAGACCCCAAGTGTGTTACATTGATAAAATGAGATCTTCAGGAGGAATCTAAAAATGTAATAAAATACAGGGTGTTCCATTTGAAATAACAAAGTTGCTAGTTGTTTCTGATAGAAGTGGCAACACTGTATCGATGAAATTATTTTAGGCGGATAGAGAATGTTCAATTATCAAAAGATCCCAATTTTCACAATGTTCTGTCGCTTCGTTCTCCAGGTACTTCTTTAATAGGCCATCCACCGTGGATCACCCTGTATAATCGGTTAAGCTAGTGGTCGGAAAATATTTAGGTTGATCATGACAGTTGGATAATCAACTACCCTGAACAAATTAAAAAATTAGGTATTTTGCGACCTAAGATTAGAAATGACTAATTAGTGAAGAGTCCACTCCACTTCGTGCTTGTCTATTATACACAGATAAAAAAGATTGATCAAATCGACAGAGCATTTTGTCCTGTATATCCACAACAAAAAAATCTTGCGACAATAACAAAAGATTTTTCACCATAACAAATCATTATGTATACATAATTCATTCAATGGATTGATTTATTTATGTGACAAAATGTGTGATATGGTATGTGAGAAGGCGACCAAGATATTTGTTTCATAGCGTGCTGGCTTAAACCGCAAGAAATCGATAGAATCCGATTTTCAAAAATGTCAACTACTCAGACCTAATTGATGTAAAGCGACACGTCTGATTTGCGGAATATATTTGGATAATATCCCTGAGATACCATAACACAGTTTTAATACACCGAGATTGTAGCGCGTACCCAGGAGAACCATAAAAAAATAAAATATGAAACAGAATCAAATGTTTCTGCAGCTCGCCTGAAAATCATTTTTGATTTCCGGAACTTAGTTGGATATCATCCAGTTATCACAGTTTTCACACACCGAGATTGTAGCGCGTACCCAGGAGAACAATAAAAAAAAAGAGACAAGAAACAACATTACAGCAGCCCGCCGGAAAATTATTATTATAGGTAAAGTCTGGTCGATTGATGCAGAAAAATCAATATTCAGACAAAATACATGTCGCCTCACATTTTTATAACATTTCGAACATGTCAACAAATCTGATGACCTTTAAGCGAACTATAGCAATATGTCTGAAAATCGTCGTCAATGTTTGAATACATTGCCAATATGTGGACAAATTGTAATCAGGCAACTTCCGAATTTGTAGTAGATAGGTATTTAGATGTTTCAAAATGGCCATTCTTGACACCAGGAGCGTAAAAAGAATCGGATTAATTGCCTAGCGATTCCGGCACATATTCTCTTTTTAAGCGACACTCAAAATGTCTCAAAATATGAATTTGGTATTCTGGACATTTATACACTTATGATTTGAAACCAAAATGAACCGAGCTGCTATGTGTCACTCAGGTCAGATTTGTTGAATGTTGG